TGTGGGTGTGGGTGGGCGCAGAGGCATAACAAAAATCAATATTTGCCCACCACTTCAAATGTATGTATGTGTGATAGTGTGTATCTGGTGTGTGTGTGTGTGTGTGTGTGTGTGTGTGTGTGTGTGTGTGTGTGTGTGTGTGTGTGTGTGTGTGTGTGTGTGTGTGTGTGTGTGTGCATGTGTTTGCGTCTTGCGTCTGTAGCCAACTCCGACCAAGACTTCATGAGCAGTTATTTATTCCCTCACTACTTTGATACCACTGTACCATTATACCACTATACCACTAGATCACTACACAGTTGCTTGCATTGGTCGTACAAATATCAGGGAAGGGTGTTATGAAAAAAAAAACATAATGTCAATCTTTTTTTAGTGTTTTGTGTCATAAGCTTTGGATGCCTAACGTAGATGAACAGTTATAACGAAAAGATAATTGTAAAATGATGTAGTATCTGTTCCCAGAAAATATTTTTGTTTTTATGACTTTGTGAGAATTATTTAATTCTCTCGAAACTAGTGACCGACGCTTCCAACTGATTCATGTATCATACTTTGGTTAAATATGTATTGTATTTGAAAAAGTGTTATATTTCGAGCCGCACACCGGAAGTGTTCGTTACGTCTGAGTGACCTGACGTTCTGTTGTCACGTGTTAGGTCACACACTTGCTGTCTTTTCTGTGTGTTAGAGGGTGACACGACACCTGTGTGTAAGAGGATGACTCGACACAGCACTGCCTTAACAAATTCTTGGAATTTACACACCGGCAAAGCACATCCTCCCGTTAATGAAAACTGGGGGGGGGGGGGGGGGGGGGATTACAGGTGACCGACCATAAACTGTGATAATTTTACTAGAAGTGTTGAGTGGAGAGGCTTATGTACACCGTAATATATGTATATATATATATATATATATATATATATATATATATATATATATATATATATATATATATATATATATATATATATATAAATATATAAATATATATATATATATATATATATATATATATATATATATATAAATATATATATATATATATTTATATATTTATATATATAGTTTAATCAGTATGTACAGCCGTGTATGGGTCTATTTTCTTAACTTTGATTTTGAATAAATCAGTCTTCTTCATCTTCGTTCTTAATTGTAATGTTGGACGGGATTCTCTCCAACACAGTTAAGTATTTCGTGTCAACAGGTCCTTCGTCAATGAGTCAGTAATGCAAATCAAAATAAACGTTTCAATTAATTTGTCTCATCTTTAAGGGAGCACCCTGAGGGCGCTCCCTTAGAGAGGGTGGGGTACGAGGATTGGCCACCCCACCCCTTGCTTCCCCTATGTGGTTATGACCCCTTCCGTACAGCGTTGGTTCTTTATGTTTGTTTGTTGAGTGTTGTTAACTAGACGACTCTTCAACAGTTGTAAGCGAGATATGACTCCACAGTCTGATGGTAGACAATCCTTCTAACGCGTAAAACACGAACCCACCCCAGACTTTTCTCAACAATCTCCGTCCCCCGTACCCCATACTTATCTCTTTTATCCACGATTTAATTAGGTCAGAACTTAACACCCTTCCGACTCTTCTGGTCCATGATTGGATTATGACAAATTGGATTATGACGATTAACTCTTTGAATTGGCTGAACAGGTCGTGAAAAAGTATTGAGGGACCTGTTCAATCCTCCCCACACCTACCCACACCCGCCCTCACCTACCCTACACCTCCCCACACCTCCCCACACCTCCCCACACCCGCTCCCAGTAGGAAAACATTTCAATGTGTCTCTTTCAGAAAGGTTCGCAATGTGTTTCTTTCAACGCCCGTGAATGAAGAATATGCCGGTAATGAAAAGCCTAGGGACGAGCCTATACTAAGTGACCCTGTCACTCTGATCGTGTACATACTTGCCGACCACACCTGTTCACCTGGTGAATGCTGGTTTACATGTGTACACTGTGCTGCAGCAGTTTCAAATCTATGACGTGATGCTGTGAGACTTACTTTGGATGATGATCTTTCCCGGGGGAGGGATGATAACCCCTCCATTATTAAAACCAAGGCTATGTTTTTTTGTGTTTGTCATCACTTCCCGTCATGCCTTGACATATCCCATAATTTTTCGTCACGTGGTACAATATATAACGCATAAAATTGTCAGGAATGAATGTGTAACGTCTAATGTTTAAGACGTCTGATATATCAAAACAATGGCATTAGGTTGGCCAATTTATTTTTCTAGGAGCTGCCAAAATTTAAAATTTTGAAACCTTTGCCTTAGATCCATGACAAGAGAAAAATTGTAACCGTTTTTTTTTAGCCGCAGTCAGTGAAGCGTGACGTTGTGTTCCGTTGTGTTGGACGCCTGCTGGGATTTCTCTTAGTTTTTGGTGACCAGGATGTAGATGTAGGTCATGGCGGAGGTAGACACTCTTTGGCCAGTAGCCGGTACTGATAGGTCAAAGGTCAGTGCCACTATGGCAAAGGTCAGTGAAAATATGTCAAAGGTCAGTGTCACTATGGCAAAGGTCAGTATAAATAGGGCAAAGGTCAGTGTCAATACGACAAAGGCCCTTGTAAATATGTCAAAGATCGGTGCCACTATGTCAAAGGTCGAGCCAGTATGTCAGAATTCAGTGGCAATATGTCAAGTATCAGTGCCAATATGTCAAGTATCAGTGCCAATATGTCAAAGACCAGTGCAAATATGTCAGACGTCAATGCCTGTATGATACATGTCAGTTTCCGAGTTTCCTCAACCATCCACCCCATACACAGCTTATCTTTGATTTGATCCTGAGTTGACTAACAGCATTGCTACCTCGTATTGAATTAGCTATGTTCGGTCAAAAGTTTCAATACCTGAAATAAACCTACTGAATTAAAGGGAGCCCTAATAAAAAGAAATCAGTTATAGAGAAAGTAAAAGCCCCACATCAAAACCATACTTATCGTAAAACTTTACACAAAACTTAACACAAATTCCAACCGCATTATTGGCTATTCCATTTATGGATTAACAAGCAGACCCTAATGTGAAATGACTTTCATCAATACATTTACCTCAAGTTTTTCTTAGACTGGCTAATTATGCCGTCATAATTGATATATGACGTCAAGCGTAGCCTGCGCCTAAAACAGCAACAAAAGATATCGGCCCTCTAGAACTGAGCCTTGTCACTTCTGCATTCTGTGCCGTAGGAAAATGGTGCCCCGTTAAAAGACTCTTCAGGTGATGCCTGACTTTGTTCTGCACGCGGGCCCCATGATGTCTGGGGTAGCGTTTAATGCCTGGTTGGTTAACTGTGGTACGTGTTGATCGCGTGGGTAGGTTCAGTCTAAGATGTATAGGCTCTCAAGGAGGTCGTTATTACGTGTTTGAAATACGCCATTCATAAGTGCAATAACTCGGGCTATCAATGTGAGATTGTCATTGCTGGATTATTGCCCTGCTCATCAACTTTGTGACACCCGTTTGTATTTGTAGAGAGACTTTTTTTCTGACACACGCAGGCCTATGGTTGTGCGGGTGGGGGGTGGGGGGGGGGGGGAACAAACTCATGAATTACATTATAGTTGTAAGTTCGACGTTGACCAAGATCTAAATTATGCCTTGATGATTTATTCGTATATTTTCTCTCGTTTAAGTCGCAATGTACATAAGGAAAGAAAGATTGGAATAAGTCGTGTCACAGACGCTATAGAAGTCAACTCACAAATAGTATACACCTCACATAACACCTCACATCACACCTCACACCACACAGACTACACAAATCACATGACGCTGACAAACCTTAGCTGTCACTACAATGGCAAGGGACGTTACTCACTAAATAACACGCTGTGTCCAGTCTGCATTACATTTCCTTGAGATGAAACATTGTGTTAAGGAGAATGGGGAATTCTAGAATAAAAACCCAGGCCAGTGTCTTAACCTCATAAACATTTCCTCACCTGACCTACTTTCAGACCAGAACTCGGTCAAGTGTGTCATACAATAGCATGGTACTTTAATATCATGCGACAATGTCAATACAGCACACTGTTTTGTCAGGATTCTTTGATTCTTTAATACAACACACTGTATGAGAATGACTTGGGCCCTTTGACTAAAGTACGTGACTAATAATATCTGAAGTACAAACAGGAGTATTTAACAACAGGATCCTCTGGTGCAGAAAAATATTTTTACACTTCTATAAAGTACTAGGCCTACAACTTGTATTTAGGCTACCTTACAATAGAGTGGAACTTCAGTGAATGTTTGGTTTTGTTTGATTTGATTTTACATTTTTAAGACATGACCAATTAACATATAGATTACATTTTGACTGAGGAGACGATATTTAACGAAGATTTCACTCAGTAAACAAAAACATTGATGGTATGGGATTGTGTACACGGTCTAGAGGCGACGGTCAATAAAAGACGGAATTGGGGCGACGGTCTGAAAGAGGGAAAGACAAACTTAACTGGAAAATAAAATAAATACTTATGGGAGAAAGACGGGGAAAATATAATTGTACTAATATACTTTATTAAACTAATAGCGATTATCAGAGTTTGATCTCATAGTATGACTGAGATATGAAGTCAACTAGCTCTTGGCTTCATTCTGATACAGTATGACTGAAATATAAAGTCAATTATCTCACAGTATGACTGAAATCCGAATTTCAGAATTACATTCGACCCCCCCCCCCTCTCGAAGAAAGTCTAACGCCCCCCACCCCCGAACGAAATGAAATGTGTATAGAAAATATATACTTTTTTAACAGTGTCCGCGGTAAATTTTAGTTTCCCCCCCCCCCCCCCCAAAAAAAAATATATTTCAAGACGGCCAGGTAGAATACAGCTGGACAGCTGTCGTGCACTGGGTGATGTAAACATCCGTCTACCTGTCCCACGTGACCAAGACAATGCCAATGCTAAGGTCATCGTCCCCATTGTTGTGACACGGGCTAGACAAGAGGGGGACACACGGTGTGGTTCAGGTGTGTTTCCTTGTCTACCTACATAAGCTCACCTGGTGGACTAGTCTGCTTGTTCTGGATAGACTGGAACTAGATCACTGGACATATCACACAGGTAGGGTTTTAATTTACCTGAACATTTATTTCAGGCTAGTTTACAGTTCCTGTTGCATTCGTGTGTTCTAAGAGGTGTGAGAGGTTGTGGACTGGCCCCACGGTCGCCGGAAATAATCCGGTCTGCCGGAAATAATCCGGTCTGCCGGAAATAATCCGGTGGGCCGCCAAGAAAGGTAATCATGAGGATAACTAAGAAATGGTCGCCCTTTATTTTTTACTCTGGCCGTTAATTGTGATTACTGCTCGAACTTATTGATTAACATTTAGAAAATCTCATTAGGTTAATTTAAATGATACTGGTTAATAGTTTGTAGGTACGAAATCTATTGGTAAATATAGTATAATTAGCATACATGCTTCTAATCTCAACGATAAATATAGTGTACGTGCGAATTATTTCAAGTGTACATCGGTGAGGCAAGTGTACATAGCAATCTTTTGCTGTTTGATCCCCATACATCAAAGTTAGGTTTAAAGAATTCTAGATACCAATTGACCCCGTGACCTTAAATCCTAGCGTACCAACATTTAGCATAATTTAAATTATGCCGCCAGTTTTGTTCTCTGTTTGAACGTGTTCAAAGATGGCTACGGTGTGTGGGGGCGGTGTGTGGGGGCGGTGTGTGGGGGCGGTGGGCGGGTGTTGTCCTTGTGGGTCGTTTTTTAGCCTTACAACACGAATGGTTCCCAGAAAGAAGCGCAACGGAAAAGAGCGCAACGGAAAAAAGCGCAAAACAAAAAGCGCAACGGAAATAAGCGCACACGGAAAAAATCGCAAAGAGAAAAAAGCGCACACGGAAAAAAGCGCAAAGAGAAAAAAGCGCAAAGAGAAAAAAGCGCAAAAAGAAAAAACCGCACACAGAAAAAAGCGCCAACAGAAAAAACCGCACACGGAGAAAAGCGCAAAGAGAAAAAAGCGCACACGGAAAAAAGCGCAAAGAGAAAAAAGCGCAAAGAGAAAAAAGCGCAAAAAGAAAAAAGCGCACACAGAAAAAAGCGCAAACAGAAAAAAGCGCAAACGGAAAAAAGCGCAAACAGAAAAAAGCGCAAACGGAAAAAAGCGCAAACAGAAAAAAGCGCACACAGAAAAAAGCGCAAACGGAAAAAAGCGCAAACGGAAAAAAGCGCAAACGGAAAAAAGCGCAAACGGAAAAAAGCGCAAACAGAAAAAAGCGCACACAGAAAAAAACGCAAACAGAGAAAAGCGCAAACGGAAAAAAGCGCAAACAGAAAAAAGCGCACACAGAAAAAAGCGCAAACAGAAAAATGCGCAACCAGAAAAAACAATGAAAAATGTGCAAAAGAGAAATTTAGCACAAATACCTATATCGACTAGATGACACATTTATACATGACTGTTAGGGCTGCTGTGAGAGTGTCGTGTTTGATCACGTGATTTACTACCATCTAAAGCGTACCACTACCATGTTCATTCCCCTCACCACGATACAGGCGATAATCGCTTTACACAATGCCTATTATTTTCTTGGTCAATAATTATTCAACTACTATTCTCGTATAAATAAACATAAAACTATCCTTGATATCGACATTACACGAAGTATCTCTCACATTCTCCCTAGTCCGAACTACCTAGCTTGCATACCATAACTACCCGTTCCTATGGCAAAACTTCATTCTCTTTCATCCGCGTCATTAAACATGCATTCGTCATATTTCTCGCAACGACATTCATTCGCACCAAAATACCTGATAAAACACACATCATAACAACGATTTATTTACCATTATTTCATTATGACGCACCCACCTACCTACCTACCAACCTACCTACCTACCTCCCTCCCTCCCAACACCTCCCTCCCTCCCTCCCTGACTGCCTGACTACCTACCTGCCTGCCTGCCTGCCAGCTTGCCTACCTACCTACCTGCCTACCTACCTGCCTACCTACCTACCTACTTACCTGCCTACCAACCTGCCTGCCCGCCTGCCTGCCTACCTACCTGCCTACATGCCTACCCACCTATCTAATTACCTCATATATATATATATATATATATATATATATATATATATATATATATATATATATATATATATATATATATATATATATATATATATATATATATATATATATATATGGGTAGGTGGGTAAGTGGGTGGGTAGGTAGGTTGTTAGGTGGGTATGTGGGTAGATGTGTGGGTGGGTAGTTAGGTAGGTGGTTTGGTGTTTGTGTAAATGATATAGATTATGCACATTTCCATTTTGCTAGCTTAGTAACAGTGTTACAAAACTCGAAATTTCAAACTGGTTTGGCGTAAGGTTAGTTCATTGATCCTGTTGAGCCCTACATTACATAGTTAATCAGTTTAACAATGTAGATACCATTGGAGTAGGTGTAAGTCAAAGCCTGATGTTATTATAAAACTTCATCTCTCTTTGTTTCTTTATAAAAAGGTTTTGGAAGGTTTTTTAAGGTTTTTTACTGAAAGGTTTACCGGACGAATGCAAAATGATATAAACAACCATAGATCTTCTGTTATATAGGCTACATGCAGTGTTTCTTCCAGACTTTTTTCTCCGGGGCTAAGGGGGGGGGGGGGGTGAAGGGGATTTTCGGGGGGGTCAACATTTTCGGGGGGGGGGGGGCGGACACTAGTAAAAGTGTATGTTTACATGTTTTCATTACCCTTCAAACAATAGTCTATTTTAGTTATATTGAGATTAAAGAATGTAAATATATAGTACACACAATTCTGTAGAATAGGAACGATTGGGAGGGAAGTGACATATAGCGCAAGAAATTTAGAGGTTAGGTAGGGTATAATAAATGGTGGGGTTAGGAAAGTTAGGGGGTCCATTCTCTAACAGGCAGTCTATGTCTCCTTCGTACTTTCGTGTTGGTTTTTGTCGAACCTGTCCTCACCTCACATCACAACAGTTGGGTGACGCTTACCGTGTAATGTTAAAATAAATAGCATGTAATTGAATTAGTTCGAAGTGAGTTTTCATACAAGCCCAACGCACTAATTAAGATTGTCGCAAAATGTAACATATATGTAACATATGTCAATGATGTCAATGAATTTTCATTAAAAAAGTACAGTTTACGAGACTAACGAACTTCGCAATTCCTTTTTCGGTGGGTAGGTGGGTAAGTGGGTAGGCGGGTAGGTGGGTAAGTGGGTAGGTGGGTAAGTGGGTAGGTGGGTAGGTGGGTAAGTGGGTAGGTGGGTAGGTAGTAGGTAGGTAGGTAAGTGCGTCATGATGTGAAATAATATTAAATACATAATTGTTATTTTGGTGCGAATGAATGTTGTTGCGAGAGATATGAGAGATATGACGAATGCATGTTAGATGACGCGGATGAAAGAGAGTGAAGTTTTGCCATAGGAACGGGTAGTTATGGTATGCAAGCTAGGTAGTTCGGACTAGGGAGAATGTGAGAGATACTTCGTGTAATGTCGATATCAAGGATAGTTTTATGTTTATTTATACGAGAATAGTAGTTGAATAATTATTGACCAAGAAAATAATAGGCATTGTGTAAAGCGATTATCGCCTGTATCGTGGTGAGGGGAATGAACATGGTAGTGGTACGCTTTAGATGGTAGTAAATCACGTGATCAAACACGACACTCTCACAGCAGCCCTAACAGTCATGTATAAATGTGTCATCTAGTCGATATAGGTATTTGTGCTAAATTTCTCTTTTGCACATTTTTCGTTGTTTTTTCTGGTTGCGCATTTTTCTGTTTGCGCTTTTTTCCGTTTGCGCTTTTTTCTGTGTGCGCTTTATTCTGTTTCTGCTTTTTTCCGTTTGCGCTTTTTTCTGTTTGCGCTTTTTTCTGTGTGCGCTTTTTTCTGTTTGCGCTTTTTTCCGTTTGCGCTTTTTTTCGTTTGCGCTTTTTTCCGTTTGCGCTTTTTTCCGTTTGCGATTTTTTCTGTGTGCGCTTTTTTCTGTTTGCGCTTTTTTCCGTTTGCGCTTTTTTCTGTTTGCGCTTTTTTCCGTTTGCGCTTTTTTCTTTTTGCGCTTTTTTCTGTTTGCGCTTTTTTCTTTTTGCGCTTTTTTCTCTTTGCGCTTTTTTCTCTTTGCGCTTTTTTCCGTGTGCGCTTTTTTCTCTTTGCGCTTTTTTCCGTGTGCGCTTTTTTCTGTTTGCGCTTTTTTCTGTGTGCGTTTTTTTTTCTTTTTTGAGCTTTTTTCTCTTTGCGCTTTTTTCTCTTTGCGCTTTTTTCCGTGTGCGCTTTTTTCTCTTTGCGCTTTTTTCCGTGTGCGCTTATTTCCGTTGCGCTTTTTGTTTTGCGCTTTTTTCCGTTGCGCTTTTTTCCGTTGCGGTTCTTTCCGGCCACCAACACGAATATAGATATCGTCACGTTTGGTGATAAACAACAGCTATTCATTACAAGGGAGGTAAACATGAAAGTAAAACGATTATTTCCCCTTAAAATTTAAATTATTTATATTTTAAAGGTTCAACTAAAATATATGAATTATAGCATCATATATTGCTGACGAAAGAAATAATAAATGTACTTGAAAATAGACTTTTTTTGTAATTGCTTTGTTTTTCAGTTCAGTGAAAATTAAAGATAGATTAGGTTAGATTATATAAAAATATTTCATTTCTCAAGTAACTAGCCAGGCTTTACAGTAGCTAGATAACAACACCAGCCTCGCATAATTTAGATGATAAACCTCCAGGATTTGAACCTTCCACCCCTCAACAACCCTCTATAGACTCCCCTCCCGGATTTGAACCTTCCACCCCTAAACAACTCCCTATAGATTTAAATCCTCAACTCACTGACTGAGATTCCTACAATGAATGTATGCATTGAACAAATATTTGGCTTAAATTTATTTTCCGTTCTTATTTTCTATTTGATTTAGTTAAATATTGGCATCAAATCACTAACTAAAACATATTCATTAAGCTAATTGGTTGATTACCGTCACGGCCTGGTAATAATCGTGAGTTCTGCTACATGCCAGGTTTAAATGGGTACCGCTTGACATGCGTGACGTCATATTGATAGTTAGATGTTGTACATGTTGCCAGATAGTAGCAATCAATTTTAGGGAGCATATGTCGTCACGATGACGCGTAGATGTATGCTGGAGAATACAGATCACTTGTGGGGAGGGGGGGGGGGGGAGTCATGTGACGTCATACTGATGCTTAAGGTTTTGTAAGAGTGCCGAAGAATGCCGATGAATTATGAGTCACGTGACTCATTTAACGTCACATGGATTCTATTGAAAACTTTATTCAGATGACGTCACACTGATGTCATGGACTACTTATTTTATATGACGTCACACTGAAGCTGTAATTTTTGCAGGTTTGCCTGGAAATGGCGATCGATGTCGGAGGGCTCGTCTCTATTGTCGTCTTCTACCTCATCATTCTCGTCATCGGGGTGTGGGCGGGGAGGAAGACGGGGTTCAGGACCAAGAACATGAGGACTGATGACGTCATGTTGGCGAATCGCTCGATTGGTTTGTTCGTGGGCACGTTTACAATGACAGGTAAAGATAGGGATGTGGGTGATGGGAGGGTGGGGGTGGGGGGCTACAGGCACACGAGTAAGTTGGAGGTAGGGGGGTTGGACAGCGAGGAAGAGGCAGTGAGGTAAGAGGTAGGGAGGCTGGATAGGGAGGCTGGAATAAGACAGGTTGGTGAAGATAGTTGGTACGTACAGTTTGTTGGCCGGTAGGTTTGAGCAGGTTTGAAAGACAGTTTGTATCAAGTAGGTTGCGATAGAGTGGTTGGGCAGGTAAGCTGAAAAGTTTTCGAGGGCTTAGGCATTTCAAACTGGCCGTTTAGGCAGATATTTTGGGTCTGTAGGAGGTTAGATTGTACCATATAAATGTATGTATGTATGTATGTGTGTACACACAATTCATTTATCCTGGTTTCAGCCACTTGGGTGGGTGGTGGTTACATCAACGGCACCACGGAAGTTGTGGCACTGAGTGGGGGGCTGGTCTGGTGCCAGGCGCCGGTAGGATACGCCCTGAGTCTTGTCTTCGGTGAGCAATGATATAGTCTCTACTCCGTCATGATATATTCTCTACTCTATCATGATATATTCTCTACTCTGTCATGATATATTCTCTACTCTGTCATGATATATTCTCTACTCTGTCATGATATATTCTCTACTCTGTCATGATATATTCTCTACTCTGTCATGATATATTCTCTACTCTATCATGATATATTCTCTACTCTGTCATGATATATTCTCTACTCTGTCATGATATATTCTCTACTCTGTCATGATATATTCTCTACTCTGTCATGATATATTCTCTACTCTGTCATGATATATTCTCTACTCTGTCATGATATATTCTCTACTCTGTCATGATATATTCTCTACTCTGTCATGACATTGTTTACTACACCAAATACGGTAGTCACTCTGTCAGCATCTCACACCTCCCACCCTCGAGTTATTTACTAAATCACGTTGGCCTACGGTATAACTTAAACATCTATTCCGACAGGCGGACTTTTTTTCGCTGAAAAGTTGCGGAGTTCCGGGTTTACAACGATGTTGGACCCCTTCCACTGGAAATACGGAGACCTGATGAATTGTCTGCTCTACATCCCAGCACTCAGTGGGGACGTCTTCTGGTCGGCCGCCATCTTGACGGCTTTGGGTAGTTATTTCTTGTCATTTTTTTACGGGATTTAGCACCATCTACTTGCCATTTTCAAAACTCTGCACATACATTTTTACTATTTTTATCTTTCTTTCTAAACAACTATGCGAGAAACTGAAATTGCAATGAAGATTATTATCTTTTCATCACAAAACTGTAAGTAATTCGGATTTAGGACTCGATCATTATCTCTGTGAATACAAAGTCAGCTTTGTCCAGCGTGTACCCTTTGGTTTTCACTTAAACTTAAACCTAAACCTTAACTCTTTTACTAAGGGGCGTCGCTACGTGTGATACTTGACCTTAACCTTGAGCTCGCCATCATTGTGTCGGCGGCCATTGCTTGCCTCTACACGCTGATTGGTGGACTCTACTCGGTGGCATACACTGACGTCATACAGCTCATTTGCATGTTTGTGGGGCTGGTAAGCCTATGTTCGCTAACAAATTAACCTAACTAAATCATGCATAGATCTTATAGAATGCATTAGATCAAAACGGTTCAGCTATAAGAAAGCGATTTCTCACAAACTTTTGTTCTCATTATTTTGAGTATTGTATAAATTTAATTTAATTTAGCCAAATTATAATTATTGATAAGATGAGATTTACAGTGACCACATTAAAGCACCCATATAATATTTTAGATAGTTCGGCACATCAAAAAATATACTGTCTTCTAATGACGTGACTAAGCTCTTTCATTTACGCACACGCGTACACACACACACACAGACACACAGACACACACACACATTCACTTGCTTGTAGAATCGTAATACCTTGACCTTCATGACGTAATAAACACTTCGATCTTGTGCTCGTGTTGACAGTGGCTGTGTGTGCCGTTTGTACTCACGCACGAGTCCGTGTCTCCCGTCACGGCCAACAGCACACAGCTCTGGCTAGGGACGCTAACACCCGACCACGCGGCCAACTACATCGACCTCGGTCTGCTGCTCATCTTTGGCGGGATCCCTTGGCAAGTAGGTGAGCTCGCTCAATGTGTCGTCTGTCTGACTGTAGGTCAGCACATTGTGTTGTCTGCTTCTTGTTGTCTGCTTCTTGTTGGTAAGGTCATACACCGTGCTGTCTGATTCTTGCTCGTAAACTCATCCAGTTTGTTGCCTCCTATATTATATGCTTTGTACAGGACGTGATGTTTCTAAATCTAACTGGATTTTCCCATATCTAGCCAGCTCTATGTATATCTAGATTGTTAGACAGCTGGCTTGATCGAGATCTAGCTGGCATTAGGTGTATTAAAGGTTCAACGACTTCACTGAAAGTTGTTGAAAACCATGCCCTCAGACCAAAATGCTACAGTAAAGCTGACCTCTAAAGTAAAGCTGACCCTAAAGTAAAGCTGACCTCTAAAGTAAACCTGACCCCTAAAGTAAAGCTGACCTCTAAAGAAAGTCTGACCCTAAAGAAAACCTGACCCTAAAGTAAACCGTCTCTATCGTCAGGTATACTGGCAGAGGGCGCTGTCAGCCAGGACTGCTGGCATTGCCCGGGGGTTAAGTTTTCTGGGAGCTGTGGGCTGTCTTGTGATGGCCGTCCCCTCCGTCATCATGGGGGCGGTAGCTGCGACAACAGGTATGTGAGACAACATCATCACCATCTTACTCTAAATCTTCATGCTGGTGGGGGGGGGGGGTCTTCTTATCTTACTGGGTGTAAGACAACATCGTCACCATCTTACTCGAATTCTTCCTGCTGGGGGGGGGGGGAATCTTCTCATCATACTGGGATTCATCTTACCCTCGTTGGGCTGTTTTTAATCCATGGTGGAATTATTATTATCCCTGTGTTTCTCCGTATACTTGCTGAGATGTCTACTTCTCCGGGCGCTTGGTCAGAACAGACAAACGCTCGGCTATCCATCATGATTGATTACTGTACGATGAAATTAATGCTAAAATAGAAATAGAAAACTTTTACAGATCTGTAAATCAACATTTTAGTTTAAGCACGTATTGATGTCTCTGTGACCTTTCCATGTAAAAGGATTCTGTGTTCAGCAAAATGCCCAACTGCCTTCACTAGCCCAGATAGCCGTCTTACTTAAGTCTTCCGTTGTTTCCTCGTCTAGTCAACGTTAAACTTTATTGACATTGCAAGTAACAAGTTCACCAAACTGCTATCTTGTAGACTGGAACTCGACTGGCTACGGCCGTGTGCAGATCTCTGACTACGACCGGCCGCTGGTGCTACCTCTGGTGATGAAACACCTGTGTCCACCTGCCGTGTCCTACATCGGTCTTGGTGCCATTTCTGCTGCCGTCATGTCGTCCACAGACTCCTCTGTGCTGTCGTCTAGCAGCATGTTCGCCAGGAATGTTGTAGGGGTCATCTACTCAAGGACACACGGGAGGAAGGTGAGTTATGTACACAGTTCTAGTACACACAGAGTTCTAGTACACACACGGGAGAAAGATGAGTTGTGTACACAGTTCTAGTACAAACACAGAAGAAAGATGAGTTGTGTACACAGTTCTAGTACACAACACAATACACACACAGTTCTAGTACACACACGGGAGAAAGGCGAGTTGTGTACACAGTTCTAGCACATACCCGGGATAAAGGTTAGTTGTGTACACAGTTCTAGTACACAACACAAAATACACAGAGTTCTAGTACACACACGGGAGAAAGCTGAGTTATGTACATAGGTCTAGAACACACACAGAAGAAAGATGAGTTGTGTATACTGGTCTAGCACACACCCGGGATAAAGGTGAGTTGTGTACACAGTTCTAGTACACACACGGGAGAAAGATGAGTTGTGTACACAGTTCTAGTACACAACACAAAACACACAGAGTTCTAGTACACACGGGAGAAAGGTAAACTGTGTACTAAGTCTATTAAAACTACAATACAACCTGGTGAGATGTGTACAAACTATTCTAAGTACAACCACCATTTTGAAACAGTGTTTCTTCCAGACTTTTTTCTCCGGGGGTGCACTTGAAATCTTCGGGGGGGGGGGGTGGTAAACTTTCTTCGGGGGGGGGGGGGGCGGACACTGTTAAAAGTATATATTTTCTATATAAATTATATAAATTTCATTTCGTTCGGGGGGGCGGTAAAAATGCCAGATGCCTGGAAAAAACTCTGTTTTGAAAACACAACTATTGGTGAAAGTAGCACCTCTTTCAACAATTGAACATTCTGGAAACATAATATCGGCCCTCGTCTTTTCAGATCTCCGAGTCGGCCCAGATATGGATCATGAGGGTGGCCCAAATCGTCATCACGGCCATGGCTTGTGTCATGGCCATTTCCGTCGAGTCCATCTATGGCCTGTGGATCTTGTGCTCAGATTTTGTCTACGTCATCTTGTTCCCCCAGCTGCTATGTGTCATGTACCTCAAGGGGACTAACTCCTACGGTTCTTTCTTAGCTTTCTTCAGTGGTCTCATCTTGAGGCTGCTCGGGGGAGATAACTCACTTCACATTCCGGCTGTTATTCACTACCCCTGGTAAGATTTTGAAATCTATATTTTTCACACGAGGCAGATTGCAGAGAAAATAACAGAGAGAGAGAGAGAGAAAGAGAAAGCCTGTTGATGAACTAGTTATCTGCTACCAAAAGGATACCAACATAAAACGTCACCCAATTTACAATCCCTTCCTAAAGATATGGAGCATCATAGTCGTGAGGAAGCTCACTATTTTTAACTCAGACCTGAGTATTCTTAGCTCTAGTTGGTACCTGATTCTTTTTTTTATTTTATTATTATTATTTCAGTTTATTTATTTACAACAAAACAACTTTATTACTTTTACCTAAACGTTGTTGATATTTAACCATCACCTGACTTCAATTGTCCTCAAATGTTTCTTCTTCACTTTCTTTATCTTTGCTGTGTTTTTTATAGGCTGCACTATTTCTGCTTTTCTTTGGTTCTCTAACTTGCGCTTATTGTTTGCCTCCATTCTCTGTCTCCGAAGCTGTTTTTCTTTATCTTTTTCTGTCTTCAATTGTTCCTGTATGTCCTTTAACCTGAGTTCCATTTTCTGTTCCCATGTCGTTTTCATAGCTTTCACCTGTTTAATGACAGAGGATCTCTGGGTTCTAACTTCTTTCCACATACGACCTGATTTTGGTTTTCCTCTAGGAATTTCATGGAAGATTTTTTTAACTGGGTCTGTTTCTGTTTTGTTATTAGACAGCTCATCGCCTGTTCCATGCTTCTCCATCATTGTTTTCAATTATTTTGCTGGTACCTGATTCGATCAGGGAAAAGTAATAGTAACAGGACATAACACCGAACGCAAATAATTATTTTTTTCATTATAAATAATTATACCTAGAAGGATAATTTACACGTTTTTTAAATTGGCTTAACTTTAAGGAAAAACTTCACCTTACACTTGTCGTTTTCTCAACTTTTATTTTAAAAATTTGTATAATTTGCAATGAATTCTTATAAGCGTTAAACGGTAAATAATTAAAACTAAATGTTTTAAATATTTGTATTTCTACTAGGTACGACGCGACAACAAATACCCAGTTATTCCCCTTTAGGACTCTCTCCATGCTTGTCTCCCTGTTTACTCTGATTATCTTCTCCTACCTGGCTGAGTACTTGTTCACACGATGCCACGCCCCACTCACCTGGGACTTGTACAGGTGTTTCCAGGTAAGTTCTAGCTAGGCCGTTTGAAAAGGGAGGTAGATTAATAGATGAATCATATTTGTAGGAATGTGTATATTATATTTGTAGGAATGTGTATATCAAATTTGCGGGATTGTGTATATCACATTAGTCGGCATGCGTGTATCACAACAAGGGGAAATGTGTATATAACATTTGTGGGAATGTGTATATCACGTATAAAGTGTTGATTTGCATGTGTTAAAATGCAATAGTGACAAAAACTCAACACTGGACAACACATACGACAAGTTGAGCAGAAAAGAGGATTTAACCATACGTTTCTAATATTTTTTTCTAAGTCGTACCGACATATGGTTTATGATACTGTTGCTTAAAGCATTTGTTTTATTCAGGCTAAAATGTAGGGTTATTTTAAGTATAGAATTGGGATTGATGTCGTTTCCTAGAGAAATGTTTTTTTTTTAATCTGTAGGTTTATCTTATTCTAAATTTAACTTTTACTACCAGCTTAAATTTTATGAACTTTAAATATTTTTCGCTGCATTTGAATACTTTACATGTGATCGTAGTTTTAAAATATCAACACGATGCTGATGTTTACCAACAAATTACTCCCCGAGAGAGGTGTGGGAATAATAGCATCAGTCACGGCGCGTGTTGAATGTGTGGTCACCGTCTTTCAAACACACGTACATACACATACATTCATACACATTTATACATACTGTACATACATACACATACATACACGCACACTAGTAATAAAATAAACAGACTTACATTCATACAAAGACTAATAAGTATTCGACTTACACACACCGATAAAACACACACGAATCACAATTTCAACTGTTTTATTTTAATATATATTTAATTCTAAACTTGACACATTTTTAAAAATATATTTAATTCTAAACTTGACAAATTTTTTCCCAGCCACCATCACCACTTGCCAAGTCTAACACCAAACTTGTCAGCCTAACGTGTGACGAAGGTACCGGAAGTTACGTCAGACATCGCCTTACAGTACATGGTGAACATAACCTGGGGTATTTGTCAGACGACAGAATTACAAGCACAAAGTTGTGATAAGTGACTTACAGATAAAAATACTAAATGCTAGTCCCCAACATTTTATATCCAACATATTCTTCATTAATTCTATTATTATTTGTTGCATATTTGTTGAGTTTATTTTTACGGATTGTGGATGAAACATCAGTTATGTTCCTTAAAATATGCAGCTAGTCATTTTTTTTCTGTAAGGCGTATGAAAGACAATAAATGTTTTATAGATAAAATATTGTGGTTCTTTGTACAATTAAAAAAACACCATGATATTTACATTTTATTACATTTTTTTTATGTTGGTTGCTTGTATAAATTGCAATTGGTATTTTATTATAGAAAGTCGACAAGAGGAATAAGTTTAGATTTATTTAAGAAGGGAAGCAATCTTGATTTAGTTTGCTGAATTTTTTATAATCACAGTTATCCCTCTTCTCTAGTAAATCTGATTTACCCTTCTTCTCTAATGATGTGAATCATTTAAAATGTGAACTAGAATTTTTATTGCAACTTTTTCCTATTTCTGAGTTTTACGCCCGTTTTGTTTACCATAAACATGGCTAGAAGTTCGGCTGTCCTGACGATACCATTTCGTCACACTGTCGTCCGTTCAGTTCACGTCTGCCAACACTGTCGGCGTTTAAATGGTTTAACGTTTTTTTTTTAAAGCAACAACAAATCGCGTTATAAAAGTCTGTTTTTGTAATTTGAGATAAGAAAGTTTGTCTCCGATAGTTTGTCTGTGCTGTTTCAATAGGCCACACAGATTTAGTTTATAAGGGAATTTTTTATGATTAATTAGAACTTATATGCGTGATAATTCTACTTACTATTGTTACATTTAATTATGATTTCTGGAAGAAGTGTTTGGTAAATAAATGTATCTAGCAGAGGCGGTGTCCAGTGAAATAGGTAGAGATGTCCAAACGACCGAAGTAGAGGTGTCTATATAAATAATGTAGAGGTTTTTATACGCCAAATGTAGAGTTTTATTGTGACAATTGTAGAGGTGTTCATGTGAAACTTATAAATTTGTTCATATAACCCATATAGATGCAGAGGAGTAGCGACCCCTCCCGGCGCTGAAGACAAATTTCAATGTGGCACCCCCCCCCCCCCATATATTTTTATATATATAATTCAAAATAGCAGCTAAAATGAGTTTATTTTGGTGCCCCTAGGGGCGGCGCCCGGGGACATATGTACCCCCCCCCCGGTCGCTACGCCTCTGTATAGAGGTGTTTACATGACATAATTAGATGTGTTAATATGACTGTTATAAATGTCTTCGTATGACCCATAAAGAGGTGTTCAAATGACATATATAGAGGTGTACATGTAACACTGTGGAGGTGTCCATGTAACATGTCATGAGGTGCCCACGTAACATGTCATGAGGTGCCCACGTAACATGTCATGAGGTGCCCACGTGACATGTCATGAGGTGCCCACGTGACATGTCATGAGGTGCCCACGTAACATGTCATGAGGTGCCCACGTAACATGTCATGAGGTGCCCACGTAACATGTCATGAGGTGCCCATATAACCGAACCATTAAATGTGTAACAGATTCAACACGGATCACGTGACTTGTTTGTCCCCAGTAAAACTCGCCCAACATAATCACATACACATTTGGCAACTAGACCTACACCCGGTGCAACATTGGCAACTAGACCTACACCCGGTGTAACATAATCTCATACACATTGTTACTTTAATACACCTATACCTGTTGATGCAGTCACAGTAGATGCTGTCAGGCGACACCAAAATAAAAATCAGACCCACAAAATTTTACAAATAGACAAATACAAACACAAACACGTATAGACAGAAGTTGGACAAATAGACAAATAGTAACACATATAGATATTTATAACAGACAGAGGCACGCTAATGTCAAAACAAGATTGTGTTATGGGGCTTAACCCGGATCAAACACCATCAAATGTAAGTGCATGAGTAACACAGGTAAGTTCAGGTAACTTTTGCTGCACCTGTAACCAAGTTCTTCAGACGACGAAACTTACAGGCGCCTGACCACACGTGTCTTGTAAGCAAGACTTGACAGTATTTGTTGAAATAATCTGTTAGCTTATATGTCAGCTACTATCTTTCATGTAAGCTGTATGCATCTTTGTAAGCTTCTAGCGTACATATCTACTGTTACCATTCACCTAAGCCGCTATCACGAATGTAAGTAGATCTGTGTGTTGAGTGTATCGAATCAATTACACCTGTTCGTTAAACAAAGCAGCATCTAAGCCTATCGTACGTGTAACATGCAGCAACTGAAGCATGCGACCATCAGGTTTTTTATACCAACTTTAGTTCAAGTTATCGGCTTACACAGACATTTGTGTAGGCTGGATTAGAGGCAAACCAGCGATCTAGAGGCAAACTAGAGACATCGGTCGTCAACGGTCGTGTGAGGGAAAAGTTCAGACAGTCAACGGTCGTGTCAGGGAAAAGTCCACAGTCAACGGTCGTGTCAGGGAAAAGTTCAGACAGCCAACGGTCGTGTCAGGGAAAAGTTCAGACAGTGAACGGTCGTGTCAGGGAAAAGTTCAGTCAACGGTCGTGTCAGGGAAAAGTTCAGACAGTGAACGGTCGTGTCAGGGAAAAGTCTAGACAGTCAACGGTCGTGTGAGGGAAAAGTCCAAACAGTCAACGGTCGTGTCAGGAAAAGTTCAGACAGTGAACGGTCGTGTGAGGGAAAAGTCCAAACAGTCAACGGTCGTGTCAGGAAAAGTTCAGACAGTCAACGGTCGTGTCAGGGAAAAGTCCACAGTCAACGGTCGTGTCGGGGAAAAGTTCAGACAGTCAACGGTCGATTCAGGGAAAAGTCTAAAAAATTAACGTTTCAGTTGTTCAGCCATCCACAGTTTGGCCAACAAGATGGCGGTGTATGTCCCAGGCCTTGTGGCCATCCTGGTCTTTTATCTGGTCATATTGGCCATCGGGATCTGGGCCGCCAGGAAGGCGGGGATCAGGGCCACACAGCTGCGTATTGATGACGTCATGTTGGCCAATAGATCGATTGGTTTATTTATTGGATCATTTACTATGACAGGTCAGTTTTAGTTAGTTTTACTTCATACTTGTGCTAATCTTTTGCTTCGATTCATACTAATGACAGTGTTTTTATCAAACATAAAATACTAGTAGATTTCTCCCGTCGAGGAAAAAATGCAACGGTCACTAGGCTATTAATATTTTTTTATAAAGACTTTTTCGTCGCACATGCAATCGCGCACCTAAGGTGCTTTTGCCAATACGAGCAGTGTTAAATGGAATATGTTGTTTTTTTTTAATTTGCTAGCTACGTGGGTAGGTGGCGGATACATTAATGGCAGCACCGAGGTCGTAGCCTTTGATGGACTGGTGTGGTGTCAGGCTCCTATAGGGTACAGCCTCAGTCTACTTTTTGGTGAGTCCATCTTTCTTGTCAGTCCTCTCTTTGGTGAGTTCATCTTTCTTGTCAGTCCTCTCTTTAGTGAGTCCATCTTTCTTGTCAGTCCTCTCTTTGGTGAGTCCATCTTTCTTGTCAGTCCTCTCTTTGGTGAGTCCATCTTTCTAGTCAGTCCTATCTTTGGTGAGTCCATCTTTCTTGTCAGTCCTCTCTTTGGTGAGTCCATCTTTCTTGTCTAGCCATTTCCTACACATAGACCTAGACATAGTCCCACTTCTATAGTCATTCTTTAGTCTATACAAAGATAAAAAACATTTGTCAGACTTATCATGATCATCCTCCCCGTTCGTTCAAAAGAAACATGGGGCAGATGAAGTAGAGTTCTTCAGTTTCAGTAAGCTCGACATACAGTGAGATGTGTTTGGTCAACACTATAACCAACCGCCTTAGTTTCCCTAACGAGAGTCAGGTACTAATCAAAGCTGGGTTGACTCCTACAGACTTGAGCCCGGAATCCGAACTCGAGACTTAAGGGTTAGCTGTCCCGTTCCACTTACTTGTCTCCATGTATTAATCTTTACATATGTCCGGATCATAACTAAAGTATATATCTATAAATATACAACAGTTTACAATTGTATCAAGTAGATACAATAGCCTTCGAGAAATACTAGGGCTTTTTCTTTCCTAAAAAGCCTGTGTATATTTGTCTGTGTATCGATTTTACACTGTATTGATAAACATCTAGCCGAGAGCTAGTGAATACAATCTATTTTAAATTTTACTTTTTTAACCTGAGGAATGTTTAGATCTAAACATTTAAACATCTTCTTGGTGTACGTAAAGCTAAACATATTGAGCTATTGATTTATCCTATTGAGTTTATTAAACTACCTCTAATTGGGCTGGTAAGTAGGTCACCCACCAGTTTTACGGCTCAATAAAACCTGCATGTGCCATAGAACTGGTTGGTGACCTACTTACCAGTCCTATTGCTTGTCTTCTTGTAGGTGGGTTTTTCTTCGCCACCAAGATGCGTAGTTCTGGCTTCATCACAATGTTGGACCCCTTCCACTGGAAGTACGGAGACCTGATGAATTGCCTGCTCTACATCCCAGCACTCAGTGGGGACGTCTTCTGGTCGGCCTCCATACTGGCGTCTCTTGGTAGGTCGTTGTCCATGGAGGTGGTGGTCTCGGCATAGTCACGTGGACATACTCGTGTCTACAGTCACGTGGACATACTAGTGTCTACACTAAATCCCTCACACCATCCTCTAGTTGTTTTTTTTTAATTAAATTAAGATAATTTATAGTAAACTTAATTATTTAAGACGAGTATAAAATAATCGACTAATAAATCGAGTATTTTATGTTTTAAATAGCTGTGTATTCAACTGAGTTAACTTGTCTTAAATACCAGGGTTATCATCATTCTCAAACAAGCAGCACTAAACTCTGTGTAATGACTCATCTCTTCAGTGAGTACAACAAGTCATAACTTTATCATGCCCTTATCTTAGCCTCACACGTATTGGGTATGTTTTCTTTAGGAGCGACCTTGAAGGTTGTCCTTGAACTTGACCTTGTGGTAGCCACCGTCGTGTCAGCAGCCTTCGCCCTCTGCTACACACTGGTAGGCGGGCTCTACTCGGTGGCCTACACGGACGTTGTCCAGCTCATCTGTATCTTCATTGGCCTGGTCAGTTCAGCTTTACACACTAGTTATAATGAGTTTTTTTTTCAAAATATGTGGTGTCATTATGATAAATGATATGCCAGAATGCTTTGTTAATTCCGTCTGTTCAAGAGCATGCATGCCTTAATCCAACCAAGTTATAAAAGGCTGAATTCTTTGTAGCTGTCATAGCTAGCACTCTGACAGTTGTTAAACAGTTGAATCGTCATTTTTCCCCGTTCGAGCCCAAGACAAATGTGGAGGACCAAGTAGAGTTCATTTCTTTCAGTGACCTCGGCATAGCTGGGTGGACTCAGGGAAGTTCTACAGACTTCAACACAGTTTCGAACTAGAGACTTTTAGTTTACGAGTCTAGCTCTCAACCGCTCGGCCAAGCTATCCCTTGAATGTTGATAGAAAATTATTTGGCTGTTGCAGTGGATCTGTGTCCCATTCGCTATGCTACACGAGGCGACACTGCCAATAACAACCAACAGCTCGGACCTGTGGTACGGCACTCTGGACCCGGCATACATCGGCAACTATGTGGACTTCGGCCTGCTGCTCATCTTTGGTGGCATTCCCTGGCAGGTAGGTGGGGAAAGTTTTGGTGGCATTCCCTGGCAGGTAGATCATTGTGAGATCTGTGTGAGATCATTTTAATTAATTAACTGAACCTCTATAACAAACACCACACCATACACACACAACCATTTGTATTTATTTTAATTAAACAACACGAATTTCTACAAGCTACACAACTCCCATATCTGTGACATTCATCTAACGTAACTATAAACATAAGTAACTCAAATCGTGTCAACTTAGCCACGAACACCCAAGAAAACATCCGCAACCGTCTTGTTGTAACCACGTAAATGTTGGGTTATTTCCGTTTTGTTCACACATTTCACTCATGCCTAGATAAAAATGAAAACACTGAACGCCTCACTGGATTCGTAATTACATTTCTGTACTTTAACATTGAGACTTTGGCTAATGGATGCTTCATTTTAAATTTTAATACTCCACAAAAATTTATTTATTATTGATGGGACAAAGAAGGCATCAAATTAAACAAATTTGTTTGCGCCAAATTCTTATTCCCTACACCCGTGAACTAAATGTACCATTGTTTTACTTGTGTACATAAATGCCATTAAGTCGCACTGGTGTACTCATTGTCATTTGGTTACACGGGTACTAAATGTCATTTTGTCACACATGTACTAAATTTCATACATTTTTCTAATGGTGTACTTATTGTTCTGCATGTGTACCAAATGTCACCGTTACCCATCTGTACTAAATGTCACCTTGTTCCACAGGTTAACTAAATGTCACCTTGCTCCACAGGTGTACTAAATGTCACCTTGTTCCACAGGTGTACTAAATGTCACCTTGTTCCACAGGTGTACTAAATGTCACCTTATTCCACAGGTGTACTAAATGCCACCTTGCAACCCAGGTGTACTAAATGTCACCTTGCTACCCAGGTGCACTAAATGTCACCTTGTTACTCAGGTGTACTAAATGTCACCTTGTTCCACAGGTATATTGGCAGAGGGCTCTAGCAGCTAAGACAGTCTACGTGGCTAAAACTCTCAGCATCCTGTCGGCTGTTGGCTGCGTCATCATGGCTGTACCGGCTGTTTTAATGGGAGCTGTAGCGGCTTCCACGGGTAGGTTGTGTAGCGGCTTCAACTGGTAGGTTGTGTAGCGGCTTCAACTGGTAGGTTGTGTCACCTTAATGGGAGCTGTAGCGGCTTCAACAGGTAGGTTGTGAAGCGGCTTCCACAGCTAGGTTGTGAAGCGGCTTCCACAGTAGGTTGTGTAGCGGCTTCAACAGGTAGGTTGTGAAGCGGCTTCCACAGGTAGGTTGTGTAGCGGCTTCCACAGGTAGGTTGTGTAGCGGCTTCCACAGGTAGGTTGTGAAGCGGCTTCCACAGGTAGGTTGTGTAGCGGCTTCCACAGGTAGGTTGTGTCACCTTAATGGGAGCTGTAATTTGTTTTTTCACAATCACCAGTTATAATTTGAGATAACATGATGGTGTGTTTACCTGTATGTCCATCACGTGACTAATAGCTTATCTCGACAGACTGGAACCAGACTGAGTACGGGAGTCCAAGACTTCTGGCATCTGACCGCACCCTGACGCTACCCCTAGTCATGCGGTACCTGTGCCCGACTGCGGTGACTTTTATCGGCCTCGGTGCCGTGTCGGCCGCCGTCATGTCGTCCACGGATTCCTCCATCTTGTCCTCCAGCTGCATGTTTGCCAGGAACGTCTTCGGCGTCATCTACACTAGGGTTTATAGAGAGAAGGTAGGGTAGAGGTCAGGGGTCATCTACACTAGAGTTTATAGAGAGAAGGGAGGGTAGAGGTCAGGGGTCATCTACACTAGAGTTTATAGAGAGAAGGGAGGGTAGAGGTCAGGGATCATCTACACTAGAGTTTATAGAGAGAAGGTAGGGTAGAGGTCAGGGGTCATCTACACTAGAGTTTATAGAGAGAAGGGAGGGTAGAGGTCAGGGATCATCTACACTAGAGTTTATAGAGAGAAGGGAGGGTAGAGGTCAGGGATCATCTACACTAGAGTTTATAGAGAGAAGGGAGGGTAGAGGTCAGGGATCATCTACACTAGAGTTTATAGAGAGAAGGGAGGGTAGAGGTCAGGGATCATCTACACTAGAGTTTATAGAGAGAAGGGAGGGTAGAGGTCAGGGGTCATCTACACTAGAGTTTATAGAGAGAAGGGAGGGTAGAGGTCAGGGGTCATCTACACTAGAGTTTATAGAGAGAAGGTAGGGAGGGTAGAGGTCAGGGATCATCTACACTAGGGTTTATAGAGAGAAGGTAGGTAGAGGTCAGGGGTCATCTACACTAGGGTTTATAGAGAGAAGGTAGGGAGGGTAGAGGTCAGGGATCATCTACACTAGGGTTTATAGAGAGAAGGTAGGTAGAGGTCAGGGGTCATCTACACTAGGGTTTATAGAGAGAAGGTAGGGAGGGTAGAGGTCAGGGATCATCTACACTAGGGTTTATAGAGAGAAGGTAGGGTAGAGGTCAGGGGTCATCTACACTAGGGTTTATAGAGAGAAGGTAGGGTAGAGGTCAGGGGTTAGGGGTCATCTCAATAGATTTTATAGAGAGAAGGTAGGGAGGGTAGAGGTTAGGGGTCATATACAGTAGGGGTTACAGAGAGAAGGTAGGGACACAAGAGGTCATCTACACGAGGGTTTATAGAGAGAAGGTTGGGGGTTGAGGTCAGGGGTCATCTACACCAGGGTTTATAGAGAGAAGGTCGGGAGGGTTGAGGTCAGGGGTTATGAAGAGCAGGGGTCACAGAGAGGTAGGGACAACACCAAAGGTCAGATGTCATGTAAACATGTAGTCACAGATCACGTTAAACAGGGTACACATACACAGATCGTGTAAATTAGGGTACACATACAACGGAATTTACAAATGTTGATCATATTTTTAAAAATAAATCTAGTACTGAGTAGAATCATTTATTTCTAAAGCTGATTATGGAAGAAATATTTCTCTTCCTCCTCGGCATTTTTAAGACAGATAAATATATAAAACTTGTAACCAAAAATAACTAGTCTTAAAAATGCATTACCTGACTTCTTTGCTAGTCATAACGACATAATGTAACACTAACCTTAACCGATATTCATACCTTTAATCAGTGGCGTAGCGAGGTCGGGTGTCACCCGGTGCGGCACTTAATGGTGTCACCCCACAGAGGCGTAGCGACCCTTCCCGGGGACAAACTTTCAAATTTTCGATTTGCACCCCCCCCCCCCCCTCAAACTTTCGATTTGCACCCCCACCTCAAGTTTTCCATTTGCACCCCCCCTCGAGTTTTTCTCTATATATTTTGCTATTTTTTGCCTTGGTGTCACCCCCCTAAATGGTGTCACCCGGTGCGTGCGATCCGCACCCCCCCCCTCGCTACGCCCCTGCCTTTAATACTGGTTATACAATATTTGTAAAACCTCCAACATTACTGCATGTTTTTATAATTAACTCTATTTTGTATCCAAATTATGGGGAGACAGTAGATATAAATTACTCCTACAAACAATTTCAGCATGATCACTAATTGCATGTAAAATAACAATTACTACATGAATAATTTGTTATTTTCACGTCTCATATTGTCCCCAGCCCTCAGAAACCAAGATTGTGTGGGTGATGCGGGTCTCTCAAGTCGTCATCACCGCCATGTCATGCGCAATGGCCATCTCCGTCAACTCCATCTACTACCTGTTCCTCTTGTGGTCAACTCTATCTACTACCTGTTCCTCTTGTGCTCAGACTTTGTCTACGTCATCCTCTTCCCCCAGCTGGTCTGCGTCATGTACCTCAAGGGGAGCAACTCCTACGGCTCCCTGTCCGCCTTTGTGGTGGGGCTAGTTGTCCGGCTGCTTGGTGGCGAGAAGGGCCTTAGTCTGCCGGCAACGATCATCTTCCCTTGGTAAGACGTTTTGTAAAACTTCTAAAGGATCCGGACATATTGGACCAGTAGAGGAAGACCTAATCTTAACTTAATTCTAGCAGCCAACCTAGTGTAGCGATTTTAGAATTGTACGCACTGGGTCGCACTTTACAGACCAAAACAATCATGTTTGCTGTTCACTTGGTGCGCAATTCATTTTTCTACGAGATTCTATTCTAATTTTTAAAAATTTAAGTGTTTAAAAATTGATTAAAAATCATGTCTATATCTCCAGTTGCTATCCCCGTAGTGTTATATAAGAAGATTCTAGAAAGTTTAGGGGACATCACTAAGCTAATATCTTAATTGAATCACTGAACTTAATTAAGATTCTAATAATCTGGCTTCAAAATATAAATAGTAATAGCCTATATATATATTAAGAAACATTACGAAAATGGTGTTATAACTTTTCAATGGCTTCTAAATCAACACCTGACTGTAACAATCAGAAATAATCTCCAATTCTGGAATAATTTAACACAGAATTCAAACTGAAGGAGCCAATGAAAACTATATACATCAAACAGAAAAGTTTTCAAGAATTAAGATGCCTTTTCATTTGCAGAAGGTTGAGATTTCCTAAAGGATTTCATTTGAGTTTCTAGTTCCTACAGCTGTATGAATCAAAGCTGAAGTCAGTTTCTTCAACCTTTTTTGTGTTTCCCTTTTCGACGGGGTTCAGAAACTTTAGGAGATGCTAGTTTAGATGGAGAAATGTTGGCTTGTCATGTTGGTTCTTAGTTATCTGTAGCTTTAGGGGTTTTTGGCTTCCCATCCTTAGAAGTTGAACAGTAGCTCTTTGATAACTGCGGAGAAACTGATTGGGTGATCCTTGGAATTTTTTTTTTTCTATTTTTTTCCCCGCCTCAGACATGTAATTTACAGCGTCAGTTGTGTGTGTTCGCTTTAGTATTACAGTTTTCATCATCGGCTTGTGAGGACTGATACAGATTTACAATAGTAATATTTCTTTCTTACTTGTAGCCTACTTTCATTCGTTTAAAATGGTTTACTTATTCATAGATCTAATACAAAATGTCAAAATATAAATAAAAACATTCCATCTTGGAAGAAGTCGAAAAAAGATATTCCAGTTTACCCAGGAATAGTTTTAGTTAACGGTCCGTTAGTCTTTAAGTTAGGCGTTCAACAGAGCTAACAGTTTTGTATTCTGTTTATAGCTAAATCCTAATTTATAAAATCAAAGATAATAAAATATGTGCAAACGCTTTTGTGAAAAATGTAATATTTATAATTAGTGCGGTAATAGATAACAAAAGTTTTTTTAAATGTTTAACTTATAAGCTTTTTATATTCTAAAGCTACTTTGGAGACAAAATAATTGGTTGTGTCCCTTGAGACAAAATTGTATTTAATGGAAAGTAGTAGACTCCGTTTCTTCATCTAAACATTAACTACATATATATATATATATATATATATATATATATATATATATATATATATATATATATATATATATATATATATATATATATATATATATATATATATATACATGTACAATGTTTGTGTTTACTGCATGCGATATTTTAAAAATGTAAACATAATTAGCACGAGCATACCGTCGCCAGTGGCTGTAACATATTTTCTGACAACTTTAATGTTCGGCGACGGGGGCTCTACCCCCCCCCCTTCCCCCCATGACACCCCCTACCCGCGCCACTCAAGTGAACTGTCTGACCCTGGTCGTTCCTCCCCAGGTACGACACGAACACGGAGACCCAATTATTCCCCTTTAGGACGATGTCCATGCTTCTCTCCCTCTTCACGCTGATCGTCGTCTCCTACACCATCGACTTCCTGTTTAGATACCAGGTGGTGCCGTTAAAATATGACTTCTACAGGTGTTTCCAGGTGAGACCTAGACATAACCCCTCACGTGACCCCTTATGACCCCTTGTGTTTTTCTATAATAAACTTTTTTTTTTTACATTTTATTTTCATGTGGTCATCTCTTTAGCTTTAAGAAGTACATTTCGATCCCTGATAAGGTCCCTTGTGACACGATTACTCCCCTTTTGATCCCATGCACGATCCATGGTATTATATAAAATACTTAAAAAAAAACTTTTTAAAAAACCACGTTTTTCTTGTGGACTAAAAAGTAGAAAATAACTATTTACATACATTTGATGACAAAAAACGTGGGTACGTTCACCATCAAATTTCCCGACCCATCTGCCCGACCCACGTTTTTTGTCATCAAATGTATGTAAATAGTTATTTTCTACTTTTTAGTCCACAAGAAAAACGTGGTTTTTTAAAAAGTTTTTTTTAAGTATTTTATTTTCTCCTTTTTAGTCCGTTGCTACACATGAAAAACGTGGTTTTTAAAAAAAGTTTTTTTATATAGTTTATTTTCTACTCTATCTAATGACTTGATTAAGTATGACTTGACTAAGTGTTTATAAATACACGGACTAAAAATCTTGAGCGACCAGGATTCGAACCTGGGTTGTCGCGGCCACAACGCGAAGTACTAACCACTATATATCACGGCCAGCGCGCTCACATCGATTGGGGCCGAAGTAACTGTGTCAATAGGCCTCCAGTCTTGTCGGTATCTTTAGAAATCATGTCCTCAATTTTATGGTCCTTAGGGCGTAATTAAATTAAGCTAATTACGGTCTCTAATTGCTAGTTTTTATGATTGCATCTGAAATTGTTAGGCGAAAGTAGCCTGCATGCCGAATTTCAGATCTATAGAGCAATCAGAAGTGGGCTAATTTTCGATGTCAATTTTAACAACAAACACACGCGAAGCTGAGTTAATAAAAACGTGTTAAAAAGTAAAGAATCTTCTTTAGACTAGCGATCTACGGGGAAGATGAAGTAGAGTTCACGTTTCTTGATCTCGGCATGTGAAGGGAGGCGTGGTCAGCACTATGCCCAGCCGCCTTTACTTTCCCTAAACATGAGTTAGGTACCCATCAAAGCTGGGTGAACTCAGGAACTTTCGGGTTAGCAGCCTAGCGTTCTACCGCTTAGGCCACGCCGTCTTATATGTGTTATGTCATCTTTTTAATGCATACATCAACTGAGATCCTAATTGACATTTGTATCGAATAATTAGCTTTATTAGTAAAGGTTAATGAAGCTGGGAATTTTACTACCTGCTACTCCCTTGGTTTTCTATACACCGTGTCTACAATTCGGGAGTACTCTGTTTCTTTTGCTAAGCAGACGACACCAAACTGGAAGGTACCTTTGGCACTCAGTAACATGTTTTACATGTTCGGTTCCCCAGCATCTTAAAGACAGCGGCGTTTCATCGACCCAGCTGGTCAGCGTGAGCAGTACATCAGTGGTCAGCATTGACACAGTGCTCACCAACACATCTTCTGACACCCACTGTGTAGGGGAGAGGGGCAGTGATCAAATCAAGGGAGATAATGTACGATTCAGGGGAAGCAATTCTGACCAAAGATACCTCTTCAGTACCCCAACGTTGCAAGCTATCATACATAAAGATGGTGACAGTGTTGGTGTTTGACCAAAACAAAATGTTAGACTATAACAGTGATCCAAGCTGTTTAAATGTTCATTCAGCTATTACGTAGTAAAACATATCCTGTATTTTTTATGTTATAGACTGCCTTATAAAAGTAAAACTTATGTTTCCTTAGTCGGCAGAATGATTCCAAAGTAAATAAATTGGTGTCGGTAAGATATAGACCACATACTAATAAAAAAATTTCCATTTTAATTATTTTTAAATAATTATTTATTTTGTATTATATTTTATTTGGTCCAAGACTTGTAAAGCTTCTTTTTCTTTACTTTAAAATTTGTGTTTGAAAAATTTAGCGTTGACAGTTTCGAGGCTAGGTTTGATCTAGGCATTAGACATAGAGACCATCTTGTCCAACCATCACTGAGATAAAACATGTCCCATTAGAGCTGATAGACTCGTTTCCAGGGTGTGTGATGTAAGTTGTAATTGTTGCAGCGACATTTGCAATGTGTCTTGATTAGATTGGTTTCCTGGGAAGTATGCTTAAAATCTGCGAAGAATGCTTAAAATCTGCGAAGTATGCTTAAAATCTGTGAAGTATGCTTTTAAGCAGTGACATGCTTAAAACCTGTGAAGTATGCTTAAAATCTGTGATGTTTGCTTAAAACCTGAGTTATTCTATTAATTTTGTTCAGGTATGCTACCAGTCTTCGTGTTATTATGTGTATGTTATTATCATGTTTTGCATTTTGCTTTTATTATTTAAATAATTTCTAGTTTCAATTTTTTTAAAATAAAAACATTTATTTTTTTCTGAATGAAAATTGTTGTTTTTCTTAAGTATTTTTTTTACTTATGTAGTAGAAATACTACATTAGAAAACCCTCCTTGTTGACAAGCTCTTTTTAAAGTTAGTTTGCTAAAATAAAATTCACTTCTTTTCTAGAGAGCATCAGAGATTTGATGAATTGCACTTTGCTGCGTTTTGTCAAGATAATAGCAAGTGACAACAAATAATAACAAGAATACTTGTCCATTCTTTCATTTAGACAGACTTTATTATTTAACTGGTAAAGAATTTGTCAGCTTTTACGAATAAATTATCCACTTTTAAAATAATTGCACGTGTTTTATTAATTACATTCTACAACGCTTTACCTAACAAAGCCCGCGGGGAAAATAAAATTTTAACCCGATTAGGCTTGTTTAGGTCAAGGTTAGGCTCTAGTGAGGCAGATGCGAGCTCTAACTCTGGTCAACACATTAACATAACCAACACAACATATGAGAATCTCCAAGCCGTGTCGATGTTCGTACTGTTGTTTATTTAACCAACATACAATTCTTGATACCTTTACAATGACAGGTCAAAAATAAATGGTGACTCATCAACGGGAAGACAGAGGGACAGCCTGTTTTATCATACACGGATGAAACGCTAAAAAGAAACAAACCAATCCGAAATTCGCCCTGTATGAGAACTCACTTCTAACCTTGTTGATTCGAAGCTTTTTGTATATATTTATATATAAATAATTTAAAATAAATAAAATCTAATTTAGCCAGCACACTATATATTATTGTATTGTCATCGTTGTTTTTTTTCGTGTTGATTTACAACACAGCTTCTGATCAACACGTATGAAGCGAGTTGAAATATACATAGTACGTGTAAGCATATACATTTATACACTATTTCTCTCATTGAGAAGACTAGGGTAGCCGGCTTTCGGGGAATACCCGATGTCTATATATAGCATAAGCGAACCGGAAGGTTGTCCATTCTAACATGGGAAGACTATATCGAGGCTACGATGAATGAGAAATACAGACATGCGTGAATGCATACAAAGTTAAAAATAGTTTCTGACCTATATAAGTTTATTTATCTTTTTCGTTGACATAGATCAGTGGATATAAAAAGGACTTTGTACAGAAAAAAATATAAGAAAAATAAATTAATACGTATTCTCTACCACACCACACCCATAAAACAATGATGTTGCAATCTAGTATAGAAAAATTAACATCACAAAAATTGACTTTCGCTCATTAAATATACGTCACATTTCATTTCCGCTGACATCTTTGTAAACATATAAAATATCAAATCGAGGTTCAGTTTTAGAATCATCGTCGTGACGTGTCCGATGATGCGCGGTGACGTCATGCAGATGATGATGTCATGTCGTCATCGGACATGACCGAGGTGCAGATGTTTGCCTCACTAGATGATGTTCCTTGTTTGGATGTTGTGATGGTGTTAGAAAGTTGGAGACTGTGGAAACAATGGTAGAGGCAGGTCAACAAATTGCTCTAAGTCACATGATAATCTCCATATAATAAAAATATAAATATTTCCATTTTAAAAGACATGTGTTTAGTTATAAATGTAGGCTACTTATTAAACCAAACAACCAATATGAATCTAAGCAATATTATCTCGCGATCATATCGTTATATTTGTTAAAATGAGCAGCTTATTTGTTAATTTTTAGATATGTAAATTTTCCTTCAGAACTAAAATGCAATTTAATATAATATTAGCAATAATTTTAGCAAATTGGTTTTAATTATCATAGATTAACAGCATGCGCATTTCAAAAGTTAATGGCTCGTGCAAACATTAGGGATTACTTGTATAGTGTTACTGGTATATGTATGTGTCATTCGGATGTCGAATTAGAAGTAGTGAAATATTAATTAAATAAAAATAAAGAATGGATCGGATGTAGAAATAGATTATTTTTTTCCAGAAGGTTGTAGATCTTTGTGGGTTCTTGCTGGGGAATTAGTGAATTCTCAGATAGAAGGGGTCAAACAGAAATAACACCCCAAAGTAGGGTTTGTGGCAACCCGGATAATTTACATGCTGGGTTGGCACAAGGTTGGAACGAGGTTGGCACAAAGTTGGCACAAGGTTGGCACATGGTTGCTCTTTCCTTTCGCTTTTTTTTTTTTAAATGGGTTTGGAAAAGTATTAGCAGAAATGTTATGTCCTTGTGGATTTAAAGGTGAAAACCAACTGCAAGTGGGATGGAGAAACAGTCGCCATCTTGCTTACGTCATCGTTTATGCAGTTTTAATGGTGCGAGACACGGACTGGGTGATTCGCTGCTTTACTACGGTGCTCGACTAGTTTGTGCCGAATGGGAAGAAAGAAGAACCATGAGAACATCAAAGAAAAAAAAAACAACAAAATATTGAATGTCTGAGCGAGAAATAAAATATAATAGCATGTTAACAAGTGATCAGTACGAAGCAAGAATGAGAAAGGTCCACTCAAAGTAAGCGTGTTACAATCATCTTGAGTAGGAGGCAGTGGGGTTAGAGAGAAGAAAGGCCATCCGTCTTACTGGCTTAAGAGGAAATTATCTCAGTAGTCCTTTGCACGGAGATGCTGGTCTGTTTCACAATAAAAAAGTTGTTTAGTGTTTATATGGTTACCATGGTGATGTTGTGTTCAGCGGCGTAGCGTGCTCTTGGTGTTGTTGTTTGTGTGTGAGCGAAGTTCACCGCTACACCGCTGAACGTGTTGGTGTGATGTTTACAACAGTTACAAGCCATACATACAACACGATCTAGGCTAAGATAAAACTATACTTGTACCATGCAACAATCACTACACTAGCTTAGGGTCGGGGGTTCGAAGCCCACTCACAGCGTGGTCTAGGAGTCTACGATAACTGCTAAAAAAAGTTTGCCTGTTTGTTTAATAGGGGTTAAGTGAGTAATTAATTATGGTGTTATTATTAATCTTGACTAAGCCAGCCATTAGGTGGAGGTCAGTGGACGTGAGGTCAGTGACCTTTGGCTTACTAATGATCTATTCGGCGCTCCTATCTCGTCTGCTGGGGGCTGAGGGGGTGGCTGCTTGCTGGAGCAGAGAAATGGGAGGCTTATAGCGTACAGCACACAGCGTACAGCATACAGCGTACAGCACACAGTGTACAAAGGATGATGAAGGGTATGTTGGTTAGTTAGGTATAATATCTACTTGACTAGTGTCTTGGAGGAGTTGGTGGGGAAATATTCCAACACTACATGGGGTTTAATGGAAAAAAGGGGGCTCTAGTGACGTTTGGACAACGGATGCTAGAGACGTAGGTAGCCTGGTCCCTGTAGCGAATCAGCATCTGCTAGACACTCGAACAAAACCAAGCAGAAATATAGCGCAGACTCTATCTACTGTGCTACACTACACCCAATGTTTCATTGTTTACTTTGTAATGTAACCATATTGGAATAAATTAAAAGCCGAATTCAAAAAAGATTATCATACAGCATTCTCAAGAGAGTACTACATACATACAGATATATATTTGTGTTTTCGTGCAGCATATTCGTGGGTTATCTCTAACTAGGCTAGCAAGGATTCGATCCTACAACATCTCTAGGGGTGGCCCTGTTACCTCGCAAGTAATTTGTTTAAAGCTAAGATTTGATAACATCCGGACTTAGGATTGGGAGGGGGCGCGGCCTGATCTGTCCGTGCTGAGCCCTCGGGTGGCGGAACTGGGGCCGGGGAACTGTGGAGGTTAGTGGTGAGATGGTGAGGTGGTGAGGTGGTGAGGTGATGAGGTGGTGAGGGGGTGAGGTGGTGAGGTGGGTGTGGTGAGGTGGGCATGGTGAGGTAGACGGTGAGATGGTGAGGTGGTGAGGTGGACATGGTGAGATGGTGGGGTGAGGTGGTGAGGTGGTGAGGTGGACATGGTGAGATGGGCATGGTGAGGTGGTGAGGTGGTGAGGTGGGTGTGGTGAGGTGGGCATGGTGAGGTAGACGGTGAGATGGTGAGGTGGTGAGGTGGACATGGTGAGATGGTGAGATGGTGGGGTGAGGTGGTGAGGTGGTGAGGTGGACATGGTGAGATGGGCATGGTGAGGTGGTGAGGTGGTGAGGTGGGCATGGTGAGGTGGTAAGGTGGTGAGGTGGTGAGGTGGGCATGGTGAGGTGGTGAAGTGGGCATGGTGAGATGGGCATGGTGAGGTGGACGTGATAGTGAGATAAATGGTGAGGTGGACGTCATGAGATGGATGTGATGGTGAGGTACATAATAATAATGAGGTGGGTATAATAAGGTGAACATGATGATGTGATTGTCTTGAGATGGACATGGTGATGTGTATAAGAAGAGGTATATATTGTGATATGAACATAAACTGTGAAGTTACAATGAAAAAATTTACAAAATCTCTCTTATACATACATACCATACATGTAGTATGGCTATTATAATAATTATGTAGTATAAAACAATATATACAATATACAATATAATAAAGGGAAAAATTTAACATTTATAAATTCAAAGTCAAATACCTAAAGTACTTCTAAATATTTAGTACTATCAAACTATTATTTAATTTTGTTTTAAAAATGCCCATATATTTATATGTACAAATATGTCTAGTTGGTTTATTATTCTACAATTCGATAACTAAATGCAGACGAGGCTGCTGGGGGTGGGGGCACTTACCCCTGGGGACGCGCTGGTGCGTGAGACGGACACGGAGCTCCTGTTCTTGGCCCTCAGTTTGGACAATGAGCCCTCAGCAGAGTCGGCACGCTCCTCGGCATCTTCCAATTCGTTTTGTACCTTGCGGTATTTAGCCAAGTTAATGGCAGCAATCTCCTCCTGTGATACACAGAGGGAAGGAGAGTTGAGGTCAAAGTGTACAGAGGTCATAAGCCAAATTTAATAGGTCAGAGTTCATAGATCAAAAATTAGTGTTCAAATTCAGCAAGGAATTTTTTTTAATAGCTTTCTGTGATAGATGTATCTAAGCTTTAGAATGGTTTGTAGACATGTCTTGTTCTAGGTTTGTGTGGTAGAATTATCTGTGTTCAGAATGGTTTGTAGGTGCTCTTAGAATGTGAGAAAGTGTACTCACAGCCTCCTCGACTTGGCGCTTGTAGGTCTTGATCTTGTTCTGGAGTTTGTCCACCAGATCCTGGAGACGCTCCTGGTTCTTGCGGTCCTCGTCTGACTGGAAGGCGAGCTCCTTAAGACGGCGGTCTGCCTTGCGCATGTTCTTCTGTGTCTCGGCGTGTCTGCGTTGTTCGTTGTCCAACTCGGTCTCGAGTTCTCTGACCTGCAGACGTCAACATATCACATGGTAATCACGTGATTCTATTTATAGATATAGGCCTATGTTTTTAATATGAAAGTGCTGACAATATGAGTACTCACTCTCTGTTCGAGTTTCTGGATCATCTTCTTGCCTCCCTTGAGTGCTTGAGCCTCAGCCTCGTCAAGACGTACTTGAATGTCCTTGAGGTTGGCCTCCAAGCCCTTCCTCAACTTCTCGACCTGCAGGCTGTGTTCCTGCTCTTGGCGGAGCTCGTCGGCGAGTCTGGCGGCGTCAGCCATGGCTTTCTTGGAGCGTTCCTCAGATGATCGGAGTTCGTTGCTCATCTCATCCAGATCGGTCTGGAGTAAAGGAAGACAATGGTTCATACATCAAAGAAAGACATTGGTACATAGACCAAGGAAGATATTGGTGCATAGACCAAGGAAGACATTGGTACATAAACAAAGGAAGACATTGGTACATAGACCAAGGCAGACATTGGTTCATAAACAAAGGAAGACATTGGTACATAAACAAAGGAAGATTTCAGTTCATAAACCAAGGAAAACATTGGTTCATAGACCAAGGAAGACATTGACAAAAACTCCAAACTTGTTCATTTATTTCCTAACACGATAGTTTATGGCTCTACTGGTTGCTAATTAACATGACCAGCTAGAGACGGATTCTGTTTAAGTTAGATTCTGTTTAAGTTAGATTCTGTTTAAGTTATATTCTGTTTAAGTTAGATTCTGTTTAAGTTAGATTCTGTTTAAGTTAGATTCTGTTTAAGCTAGATCCTGTTTAAGTTAGATTCTGTTTACAACTGACCTGCATAGCCTGGACGTCTCCCTCCAACTTTCTCTTCTGGCCTTGGATGGAGCTGTTCTGTGCGGATAATTCGTTGACACGGTCGTTGGCATCGTTAAGCTCATTCTCAGCTCCCTTGCGGGCTCTCTCAGCCTGGTGATAAAGACAACACACGTTAATTCACTTACTTTAGCTCATGCATTTACATATAAATACTGTGTATAGTTTTCTTTAAAAAAATATCAAAATTTTATGTAAGTTAGAAACTGAAGACCATGTTTTGGTGGTAAATAAAATAACGTCTGCTTAGTTACCTGCTCAAGGGCGCTTCTAAGCTCTTCAATTTCTCCTGTGAGAAGGGTGCAGCGGCGCTCGGCCAAGTTGTATGCCTCACGGGCCTCCTCTCTCTGTCTCTGTTCGTCTTCAATCTGGCTCTGCATCTCCTGTGGGTGTTTAGAACAGCATGGTTAGAACTTTAACATGTGTAAAATAATAATTCAAGAGGGAAATTATGAAGAAAATCTAGAGTAATTTTTGACGCATATTCTGAAAAATATTTGGAATGGAATTCTGAAAGTCGTTCAGGAAAGGGCTTTCGGGGGAAATATTAGAGATTAATGTTCCATATAATTATAATTTACCTTGATTGTCTGTTGGTATTTTTTGACGTTCTTCTCGAATTCGGCTTTTCCTCTGTTGGCCTGATCAAGGGCGACCTCAAGCTCGTTGATGTCCTGCTCAAGTTTCTTCTTGATGCGGAGAGCCTCAGCTTTACCCTTAGCTTCAGCCTCAAGACTGGCTTGCATGGAATCCATTGCACGCTGGTGGTTGCGACTGTTGGGAAAAACGTTGACATTTTAGCATACATCTTTAGCAGATATATGTGATCTGTGTATATTTATATACAGCTAATGTTCTAGTGTTAGTGCTGTTGTGGGACGGGAAAGACCTACCGAGTGTTCTCAAACTCTTCTTCTTTGTCCTGGATGCGGCGGTCAATGTCGGCTCTGACTGAGGAGATCTCAAGCTGTGCACGCATGACCTTGGCTTCCTCCTGCTCAAGGGCGGATTCGGCTTCCTCCAAGGCGGCCTGGAGCTCTTCCTTCTCAAGCTCAAGACGTTTGCGTGACTTCTCAAGCTCGTGTGTGCTTCTGCCTCCCTCTCCCAACTGGTCGGTCAGGTCGTGGATCTCATCTGCAAGTCAAGGAATAATTTTAAATTATGTAAAGAGTAACAATCTTGAAATGTAAAGTTGATTCAACTGTATTTAGTTGATGAAACACAGATTGCACATTATCTGTCACCATTGGGAGAAGTCGTTCACGTACCAGCCAAGTTCTTGTTCTCACGGCGAAGAGCCTCCACCTGGTCGTGGGCCTCTTCAATCTGGGCCTTGGTTCTGAAGAGTTCAGCAGAGTATCCTCTGGCTTCCTTCTGGGCGTTCTCGAGTTCAGCCTGGAGGTCGTTGGCCTTGGCTTGCCATTCGGAAATTGTTTTGTCGAAACCGCGTTGTTTCTTCTCGAGGTTGTTGGCGTTGGCGTTAGACTGGAAAGAGAATCAGATGTTGTGAGGCACTTGAATATTATATGTATTTTATCTCAATCGAGCATCAGCTATAAAGGACACTGGTTAATTAATATTATTTCATTAATTCAGGTACAAAACCAAAGACACGACTTACTCTCTCAACGTCAATCATCAGATCTTCAAGTTCACCCTGGAGTCTGCTCTTGGCTTTCTCAAGGGCAACGACCTTGAGGTTGGCGGCTTCAGCGGCTTGCTCGGCATCGTTGAGTTTAGCTTGGAGTTTGCGTCTGGGAGAAGCGAAAATGTAAACAATAAATATTTCTGATTCAACAATCAGTAATTTAAAATATAAAGTTAATCGTGTCTAGGTATGGCGCACCTCGCATTATCTACTCACTCCAATATGTCATGACTCTCAATATCTACTCACTCCAATCTGTCATGACTCTCAATATCTACTCACTCCAATATGTCATGACTCTCAATATCTACTCACTCCAATATGTCATGACTCTCACTACTCACTTGGATTCTTCAAGCTCCTCGGCCTTCTGTGTGCCTTCGGATTCGAACTTGGATCTCCACAACTGAGCCTCGGTGTTGGCCTTGCTGAGCTGTCTCTGGAGGTCGGCTCTGCCTTCCTGTTCCTCCTCAAGTTGTTCACGGAGGGCATCGAGATCAGCCTGAAGGTTGCGGAGCTCGGAGGCGAGTTTCTGGCGGGCCTGTAGGGGGGGGGGGGGTACAGAAACATTTTACACCATCCAAACTTGTGTTGTTGCTGTTAGATTACAGTTGTTATGTCAAAGTGTTTTCTTATAAGCATTGATCAGATAGGGTGAACTTACGCGGGTCTCGTCTTCCAACAATCTCTTAGCCTCCTCGAGCTGGGTGGCGAGGGAGTTCTTCTCCTTGGTGAGGGCACCAACACGGTGCTCGGCCTCCTCCAACTGTCTGGTCAGGTCGGCGTTCTCCTGGGCTGCACGGTTCTTCTGGCCCTGGAGCTCCTGGATCTGGCGGTTGGCGTTGTCCAGTTTGCTGTTCAGCTCAGAGATTTGAGCCTCAACCTGCTTGGTCATCTTCTCGGACATACCCTGGACACAACAACACGAAATGTCAACTTTGTGCTGTTTGAATGATGATACTATGACTAATATTTGTTTGTGGTTTTTGATTTGTTGATTATTGCCATCATTTACGTATTTTAGTGAAGTATTTGTTTTTAGATAAATGAAAATGAATACTTTATATCTACAGTCAGACTATCAAAATAAAACATTAACAATTTTTACTAGTGAATCGAGCGTCACATTTACCTTGTTTTTGCTTCCATGCTCAATTTGTGCGTGGAGGTCATCGACTTCAGATTTCAATTGGGATTTTTCTTTCTCAATCCTGATAGACGATTTTACATAAATATTTATGCTATGTGTTTTCTAAGCAAACATTTTAGCTTAAACTACATTAGAAATAAGGTACTGTTAATAATTATAGTTTTATATTTTAGAACAAAAATTATTTTATTTTAATTATTTTCAATTTATTAAACAGATTTAATTGCAAAGTAAATATTTTTATTAATACAAAGGGGAATAGCTTTCTGCCAGACTTACTTGCTCTTGACTTTCTGGAGTTGGTCGATCTGGTCAGCCATCTCGTTGGCAGCATCCTGTTGCTTCTTGCGGAGGGCGGAGATGGATGCCTCGTGCTGGAGGGCGGACTCCTCGAGGTCACGGCGGAGCTTGAGCAGCTCTTGTTCACGTTTCTTGTTGAGCTCGACCTGGGCAGCAGTAGCTCCACCAGCCTCGTCAAGACGCTCACCCAACTCTTCCAACTCTCGGGACAGTTCGGATCTCTGTTTCTCAGTCTGGGGGTCACAGGTAAAACAATTTTTATTGGTGATGTCCTTAATTATCTATGTACACTTTAACTTAATTTAACTTAAGCTTTAATCAATGAACTTCTCTTGGCTAAAAAAAACTAAATTCCTAAGTTGTTGTTTTTTTTTTAAATTATTTTCTTATTTACAAAACTAATACATTTAAATCAACTTATATTTAAATCTCAAAAGTCAATGTATTGATAAAATATTTGAGGTTACTGACCTTGGCTCTTGCTTGACGTTCAGCTTCCAGCTCTTCTTCAAGTTCTTCAATGCGAGCCTGCAATTTACGAGTTTCCATGGTTACAATAGTGTGGGTATTTACACAGGCTAAATATAGCCTTTACTGTTTCCGGTTAGAATGTTTGACGAAATAAAAGCTAAAAAAACAGTTTCTACAGCAAGCTTAGCGACAGCTTAGCGCGAAGTGTAAAAGTCCTGGAATGCAAGCCAAGCAAGAAAGCTGACACAAGAAACACAACTTGGAATAAACAGCTTTGGTTGCAAGTGTAAAGCCTTTGTGTTATCAAACTGAGGAATGTAGCGATGAGCTTTTAAACAACTTTTACAACATCAGCTTGTGTTATTCGCCAGAGAAGAGCTTGAAAAGCAGCTTGAAAATTCGAAACTGTTGTACTTGGTGGTGTTTCGAAATGTGATTCAAATATCACGAACACATCACTTCAGATCAGAGTGCAACTTTAGAGAGGTATGAAGTCCAAGTTTAAAGAGGTGTTGGACAGATAAACAAACACAAAACTCCGGCAGCCCCAGGCCGTGTGAGAGGGTGGCGCCACGGTGCCAAGTCATCATTCTCTCGTGTCTGGCTGCTCTCAGAGATACAGCCCTCATACTTAAAGCGTGAGTCACTTGCTTACCTGGGGCAGGCATTTCTAGAACTGCCCCCGTGTTAAAAAGTTTACGTGTGGTTTTTTTTTTTTACTTTTTTGTGTACACAAAAATGAAAGCGGAGGTTTGTGTGGGTGTGGGGTGAAAATGTGTGAAGCTATATGGTGTGGTATGCTGTGTGGTATGTGTGTATGTTGGTGTTGAGGTGTGTCAATATGGTAGTGTGTATACAGATGTGTACTTGTATGTAGAAATGTGCATGCGTGTTAAAGTGTGTGTTCATGTGTTTAGCCACCATCTTCTATACTAGACTGTAAAGGAAGATCAAATTTGAAATCCCTCAAGAAAATGTTAAAGCTATACAAAATTATCTGGAAAATAATTCATTACTTGGGCTTTTAAAACGTTTTGAAAACAAGAACAAATTCAAGCGACATAGGATTATAAATTATATCTTGAGCAGGATATAAAAGTTGTATATAAAACTTGTCACTATTTTTTTTCTCCTAGTTCTTGTCAGAATTTTTTTATCAGAAAATTGGAGAAGCTTGGGAAAAGATAAACGCCTAGCTAAAAACTTGCAGCTAACGAGGAGGGAAAAAAATCTGCTCGCGTCAGCAGGATAAGCCAGGTGTAAGTGTATTGAGTTTCTTACATTTAACTCAAAACAAAAAGTAAGCGAAATTTGCAGGTAAGCTGAAATAGCTTCATGCCAAGAATTTTGGAGAAATGCTAAAGCTGACGAGCCAATTTAGAAAGTTGAGGAAGCGTTTTGTCAGCAGTTAAAGAAACAAGCGCAGTAAACATTCCTGAAGCAAAAGATAGACATTTGTTTCACTTTAGTTCTTGCTTAAAATTAAATGAAACCTTAGCTAAAATAGAAAACGTAGAGCTTTTCTTTGATTTTGGTATTGATGAAATAATTTTCAGCATTCATTTATAGACGTTTACAGGTAAATTTGTTAAATTACAAAATGGATGAATCTTTTTTTTTAATTTTGATTAGCAAAGAATAATTACACAATGACGACGAATAGAATAACATATCAAGCTTAGATTTAAAATGATCGTGCAAAAGTTGAAACTTACCTGCGTGACAAGCAAACACTAACACAGTACATTAGACAACATAAGCACATTCAAAGCGTTGCGGCATCACTAGCCTGCGTAAGCAGCTAAAAATAGCACATACTTCCAAAAGAGCTTTTAAACCCGGCGCGTAGATCGCAAGGTCCGAGGTATCGCGAATGACTTTCTTACTCCGGGCGCTAAGATGGGGGTTCCTCAAAGGCTCGTAGCCTTTGCTGAACAACAGGGGGTGTGTGGCTATGTTTTCTATGACACAGGGGCTCGTGCCACGAAACTCTCGTGTCAGACTGGCAATGCCGAGCCTGTCCGTGTAGTCCCGGGGTTGGGAGCTGGAGTGGTAGCTCTTGGTGCTGGTTTTGGTAGAAGAGCTGCTCTTGTGTTTAGAGGAGGAGGAAGAGGATGAGTGCTTTTGGGAGGACCCCGACGACGGCGGTTTCTGCTGTCGTGGTCGGGTGTCCTCTTCGTCTTCATCTCTGGTTACTGGCGTGGCTGTTGGTTTTTTTGGTTCGGTTTTCTTTGTGATGACGATTGGTTCCTCGACAATCTCTTCTGTTCTTTGAGGCTCTGCTTCAAAGGGAACTTCCGTGTCTGTGGATTCCATGGTGACTTATTGCTTGCTAACTACTGATAAACAAATAATGAGATCTATAGATCTTCACAGCTCTGTCGAAAAGTGTTGAAGAAGTTCCAGGTAACTGCACTGGTACGGTGAGAAATTCTAAGTCCAGTAGACTGTGTGTGCAGGTGGTACTTGACTTAAGTCAACGCCGTGTGGCACAAGTCAGATGTGTAGACACGAAGTTGATGTGTAGGCCTCCACCAAACCTAGCCGAGCCTTAGAGTGAGGCTGTGCCGACACTTTCGCTGCTTATATCTGGATGTGTGACGTACCCTTACGGTGCAACCACCAACTCATCAACAAAGCCCACGGCACCGAGAGGTAGACAACAGCCTACGTGAGCGTGCCTACGGTCATGGCCGAAGGAGGGATGAGGGGTGGGGGGCAACACGTACCTGGAGCAAGGGAAAGTGAGGGGTGGGGGAGGGGGGGCACAACGTACCTTGAGGAAGGGAAAGTGAGGGGTGGGGGGCACCTTAAAACAACACACGAAATTTCAGTATTTTGGCAAGGTAGGCGAAAGAGGGAGGGGGTCGAGTTGAAGTAAACTTCTAGACAAGATGGGGCAGAGTGGTCCGGACCAGCTAACGGGGAAAGTATGCGAACACCTCCGTCAGTTGTTTTACTCAACTTTGCACATTCCTCCCCGGGCAGATTTTGATCAACAGTCACAGACTCGCGTCGATGTGCTACTTTGATGCCCTCACAAACTTAAACGGAATTTTTGTTTATTTATTACAGGAGCCAACCAACCCTTTCAATTAAATCCCCTGATACAAGCTTCTATTCACTATTGTTTTTCGTTAAAAATCTATTCATGAAAAAAACGTTTCATGAAACTATTAATAGTCTTTTTTAATAAAATATGAAAGATTGCCAATACATTTTATCGGATGAAAATGTTGCTTCAAAAGTTCTAACTTGTTAACTTATATAACGAGTTTGTCTATTGCACGTTTGTATACGAAATGTAGCCTATATTCGCAAACTTTTGAGATTATGCAATGCGTCTACTGTACACCACAGGTAGATTGTGTAATAGGGTTCTATGGTGGCTGACGTTTTTATAAACTGAGTCATGTTGTTGTCGGTCACAAGTATTTCCAGCAAGTGTGTGTGTGAGGAGTGTGTGTATATGTGTGTATGTGTGTGTGTACGTGTAAGAGCAGTGGGGAGTGGGGGGGGGGAGGAGGGAAGAAAACCACGAGTTAAAAAAGTAGCCTATAAAAAGTAAGAATTAAAAGTATATTGTAGTAGTTTGATAGTTCTAGAAAAAATCCTCAATCTATTCACAATCGGATAACGAGCAGGTATACCCAAAGGGCCTAACTATTTCTAGAAACTTCTTCCCAACTTAAAAGAAAAAAGAAATCTGGCCCTGCTTGAAGGAATTATCCAGCACACTTTGACATTTGGAGAAAGGAATGGATTAGTGCCACTATGATGTCATAGTGGATGGAAATATCCTTGCCCCACCTGGTATAGGTAAGACATGCACAAAATAGGCAGGTGGGTTGTATCAGGACGGGGGGGTGAGTATACACGCTGAACACAGGCTCAACCCAAGACCCATCATCACCACCTTGCTACATTTGATCTAGACCATACCGCTCGGCACACACGATACTTATTTGTGCTTTACTTGCTAGAGTTTTTCGAGGGGTTTTTTTTTTGGGGGGGGGGGGGTTATTGTTGTATTTTTTTCGAGAGAAAAAAATTAAGAACTTAGCAAAATATTTAAGAGATCGTTTTCAAATTGATAATAGTCAAAGTTGCACTCCGATTTACTAAATGTATATCTAATTTCTCATAAAGTTGGGACCCGTATTTATAATAAGATAAGCCGACTAAATCCTAGTTCTGTGTATTGTTGAAGTCATTACTTCCCCCCAGACTCTCGCGTTGGTTTAATTTTTCACACTTGGACTGACAAGTTTTACCATCGTTTTGTTGTTTTTTTTTTGTTTTTTATCTTCCAGCCCCAGAAGTTTGGCTGGAAACGTGAGTACTGCTGGTGAGCGAATAGTTGGCTTCACCTGCCGACCACGCGCCCTGCACGAGCGTGTTGGCATGGGATGTGCCCCTGCCTTATTTAGACGTCTGCTGGGGTAAGAAGGCCAAGTCAGCCCGCGGGTCGGCTGCTAGGCAGACGAGCGGGCCAAGATGGCGGCGAGCCTCACTCTCAGGACCGGTCTTTCAAAACAAAATTTCGCGTTAAGTTTCTAGAAATTTCCCCCGTACTACGATATACTTGCTGGTAACTAAACAAGTATCTCTGTATACGAAACGTCAACTTTAGGAATCTTAACTCTATCTCACATGTGAAATGATAAGGACATTTCTTATCTAATTTAGGAGAGATTAAATTTTCTTGAAATTTATTATCGTGGCATAAAACCGCTCCCAAGTCCCAACCCCTGCTAGTACAAGACGGTATACCTGAAAAGTGTGTCAATTTAGTTTTGAGGATATGTTGAAAATCTAATGATTTATTTTTTAATGTCCCACAGTATTTTAAACTAATATTATGTTTGAAATAAGATTATTTCTGATAAAAAAAAGTTCATTAAATTAGTGCTGATTAAAATAAATGAATTTTAATCCACTTCACGAAGGTTAAGCTGACTTAACACGCAACTTCCTACGTAGTGAGAGAAATGTTAGGATAAACTGTTTGGGTTAGCGTTTGTTAACTTGTAAGCTATGACAGGTACTTCTACAGGTGGTTCGGTCATCACGTGACTAATGCACGCCTAGACAACAAATATGTTATTTTCATATTTTTAGACTTCACCAAAAGTACGATTAAACAAACAACAGTACTGAAGTTAGGAATACGGTGGTGTGGGTGGAGGGGGTGGCATATGGCCAGAATTAAACAAACAACACTACTGGATTAGGATTACGGTGGCGGGGGGGGGGGGAGTATGGTCAGAATTAAACAAACAACAGTACTGAAGTTAGGGGTATTGGGGGGGGGGGGTGGAGTATGGCCAGAATTAAGCAAACAACACTACTGAAGTTAGGGGTAAGAAGGGTACGTGTTGTGGGTATGGCCAAGTTTTGGGTATACAGAAAAATTTAGAGGATTTAAAAGTACAAATGGCATACTTTTATAAGGCGTAGGGATCGGGCGAGAGATTGTATACGTGGTGAACGTTGATTGGGTTACTGTTTAGATTCTAGGGAGGAATATTTGTAGGTAGTTGTTAGTTACATAGTTAAAGGGTAGTTTTAAATGTAGTGTAGTAGAGTTGCCAGGGTAAAGGTAAAATTAAGATTAGATAATGTTTTTTTTAAACTACAGGTAAGTAAAGGGAGGCAATTCCATAAATTTCGCGCGTAAATTAAGTGATTCTCAACCTCTAGAACAAACTATAGTTTTTGTTAGGTGGTGAATTTTTGTTAGCAAAATAAATAAAGGGAGCAAACTCAATACACAGGTATTCAGACCAGATTGTTTATTTGGACAAGACATACATTCTTACCTCCCTTCTGCATACTTTTAAAAAAGTACAATTTGCAGTTTAACAGAGCTAAGCTCTTTTTAAGAAATATTCGCAACTATCCAATAATCTTAATTCGCTTTAGATCATTTATGGCCTTAATATAAGCTCTTTTGGATCAGTCGTGCTAGTTTTAACGACACAACACTTTGTAGACGAGGTATAGAAGATGGTGGTGGTGACGATGATGATGCTGATAGTGACGACGATGATACGAAAGCGACGAAACCTTACCTGGAGTTCTTTGATCTTCCTCTGGAGTTGAGCAACCAAGTTCTGTTCGTCTTCGAGTTTGGAGTTGAGACCGTTGATTTCCATGTCCTTCCTGAAAGCCAGATCAAACGATGCGTTTAGTTCCTTCATAAACATAACCGTCTCCCTAATATATCATTCATTCGTTTGCTCTTAAATTTAAAAATCTACCCCAGATAGTTAAAGAAAATCATTTCCGGGCATTACTTTAAAAACACCAGCCCAGATAAGTCAAAAAACTCATATCCAATAATTTATTTTTAGAGCCAATCTAATAATTAAAGAAAATTTCCTATTGTAAATTTTAATATCAAGCCCAAACCCCAACTGCTAACAAATTTTAAACTGCAGCCCAGAAAAGTGACGCACCTTCTGACATTTTCCTCAAGTTCTCTCTTGGCCTTCTCGAGGTCCTCAACAGTTTCCTGGGTGCTCTTGAGGTCCTGCTCAAGCTTACGTTTGGCCTTCTCAACATCACCGCGGACTTTCTTCTCGCGTTCAAGATTGTCTTCAAGCTACAAGGGAGGGTAAGGACACTTTAGCTCACGACATCGTGTTATAGTTTTAATTGCTATTTCTAGAGCTATCCTGTTTTAATTTTACTTTATTTTCATAAATTCGATTAGCATGATATTATAATAAATTGAAATATGTTTATCACAAACGGTTTGTTTATTGGTATAAATTTTTATATTTTTTAAATTAAAAAATGGAAAAATTAATATTTTTGACGCACCTCGTCAAGGGTCTGCTCGAGTTTAGTCTTGAGTTTGTTGAGGTGGTTGACCTTGTCCTCCTCAGCCTGGAGGTCCTCCATGGTCTTCTTGTGCTGCTCCTCCAGATTTTTCTTCTCCTTGTTGACCTTGTTGAGAGCCTCGTCTTGAGCGGCCATCTCGTCTTGGAGTGTCTTGATCTGGTTGTCCTTGGTCTGCTTCTCTTGTTCAGCCTAAAGTACACACAATACGTCACATCAGTGTGGCCCATAATGTCATTTTTTCCATATTTTAACTTTATCTTGTACTCTTGTTAATTAGGAAGTAATTAGTGTCTACAAAATCTCACCTTGGCCAAAGAGTTCTCAAGATCCTCGATGTCCTCCTTAAGAGCCTTGTTCTCAGCGTCCATCTTCTTCCTCTTCTCCTCCAGCTCAGCGGCAGCGTCCTCCTCGTCCAACAGCCTTTCCTCCATCTCCTTGATCTGGGACTCGTACTCGGCCTTCTGGGAGATGAGTTTCTCGATCTTCTCCTCGGCGTCGATCAGGTTGTCCTGCTCGGCTTGCAGTTGGATGTACAAGTCGTTCTTGGCCTGTGGGGGGGGGGGGGGGGGGGGGGGGGGGTAGCATATTTTGGTCACTCTATGTCCACTCAATCCAAATCTAATTTCTACAAGTCCTTATAATCCAAATCTAATTTCTACAAGTCCATACAATCCAAATCTAATTTCTACAAGTTTTAGTAATTAGTCATCTAATTAGAGTTAAGATATTGATGACAAGGACTATGCCTCACCTGCAGAAGTCCGACGTTCTGCTCCTCCAATTCCTTGCGGAGTTTCTCGGTTTTCTCCAGCTCGGTCTTGGTCTTCTCGAGTTCCTCCTCTTTCTTCTTCATGTCGTCCTCAGCACGGGCGATGTTGAGGAGGGGCTTTACCTTGACGTACAGTCTCCACCAGAGCCAGTTCTTGAGTCCCAGCCATTTACGGATGTTACGCTGGATGACGCTGAGACCAATTCTGTGGAAGGGTCACATTTTTACAATTAGTGGGTTGCTTCAAGTTATAAGGTCACATTTTTACAATAAGTGGGTTGCTTCAAGTTATAAGATCACATTTTTACAATAAGTGGGTTGCTTCAAGTTATAAGATCACATTTTTACAATAAGTGGGTTGCTTCAAGTTATAAGATCACATTTTTACAATAAGTGGGTTGCTTCAAGTTATAAGGTCACATTTTTACAGTTAGTGGATAGCTTCAAATTTTTATTTGTAGTTGATGTCTCAACTTTGATATTTAATATTATTTTTACTAGACTATTTTCTATTTCGGTAAAATAAAAACAATTAATTATAGCCTGATTCAAGTATTAATTGTCTCATGTTTATTTTTAGTAAGAAATCTTTAATAATACACTCAGCGTACGTTTTCAACTAGAAATATTTTTTTACCAAACTAATTATTTTTTTAGTTTTGTAGTTTACTGCTGTATTTCTACAACGTAACATTTTAAGTGTGAATTGCTCTAAGTTTATCCTAAATCTGTGCAAGTGATTGTGTGAGTACTGAGGTGAGACACTGACCTCTGGTCCTGGAGTTTCTTGTAAGATTTACGCATCAGGTAGCCTCTGATGTTGGCCTGGAACATGGAGATAATCTTGGACAGACGCTCGTCACGCATGTCTTCAAGGGTACCCAAGACACCGGCCTTGAAGAAAACCTGGAACCACGACAAGGATTGGGTCAGTGATGACCATGGATTGTGTCAATGATGACCAAGGATTGTGTCAGTGATGACCAAGGATTGTGTCATTGATGACTATAATTTGACGCATCTGTCATAATTTTGTAAACAAACTACCACAAACACGTTTAATGACTTCAGTCCTAACGACTGTCTGCCACAAAGTAAGCCTTGACCTTTGCCTGTCAATCATTAAAACTTGACCCCTGCCTGTCATTTATTAAAACCCTAACCCCTGCCTGTACCGCAGTAAACCCTGACCCCTACCAGTACCGCAGTAAGCCCTTACCTTGGTGGTACCGAGACGGTACTCCTGGGGATCCAGCTGAAGAGCCAGCAGAATGTTCTCGGTGACTTTCTTGCCATCGACGAATCCTTGAGGGATGGCATTGGGGGCCAAGATGGAGTAACTAGAACAGACAGAAACCACTTCGTTACCTTGTGCATTCATTCATATTTCTTATAATCTTATAATGTGTAATACAAAATGTTGAAGTTATATGTTGTAACCGTTAAAGTATGATCTCATAAAAGTTACAGCCTAAATAGAAGAAGAAGGGAATCACGTGATTACCGTTGCTTGAACTCAGAGTAGATGATCCTGTTGGGGAATCCCTTACGACAGATACGGATGCCTTCAAGCACACCGTTACACTGGAGCTGGTGGAGCACAAGATGGGAGTCGATCTCACCTGGGGACAGACAGGTTGTCATAGCAACGGCTCAGGTGAGGTGGGGGGGGGTGAGTTAGGTCGTCAAAGTTTTACGTGAGTAGATATGTATTTGAGGCTATGTGAGCTTAAATTACTGGAGTTGTGTCAGTTTGTATCTGAGTTGTTTAATGTGCCTGGAGGATGTGTGTTTGGATATGTGTTGACCGATAAACAGTAGTGTGTAGCGTGCGTAGCTACTCGTGTTTGTGCATGTGTTAATATTTATGCTCATAAATGTGTGAAGGTTCGTGTGTTTATGTCTATAGTTTCACGTATTCATGTATATGTGTAGGTTCATGTGTTGATTTCGTGTGCAGTTTTATGAGCTCATGTAAGTGTCAATTCATATGTTCATGTACATGTGAAGTTTGATGTGCTCGTGTATGTGTGTACATTCATGTATGTAAGTATGTCCATGTGTATAACGTACCAGGCTGTTTGAACTCGTTGGGAATGATACAACGCACGAAGTGGGGATGTGTGCTGTACAGATTCTTCATCAGCTTGTTCAAAGATTCCTGATCAAAGGGAAACAACCAAGTTTATTTTAAACACCGCTAGAACAGAACGTCATTACATTGTAAATATCCTCATCATGAAATTACCGCAAGTGGCAAAAAAAAATTAAAATTTTTATTTGTTATTAATAATCAATTGATTTTATAATTATCAGAGGCATTTTCATGCGCCTTTATGCATTTTAAAATATTATTCTCGAGGCGATTTGTTTAAATTGATAAATAGAAAATTAATCTTAAATAAATTTAATCTTCATAGGTGTTGATTCATCTTCAGAGAAATGGGGAAGCTAACCTATGAAAGGGAAACAACTCAGAATATTAATGGTGTAGAGAAAAAGAGTTATGTCTAAGTGTTTACTAGAGGTAAACGGGAGAAGGTAACACAGGGTGTGAGGGGGGAGAGGGGGCATGGAGGCTCTCACACTGTAGTGGGGAACTGAAATGTGTTAGGGTATGGTCTTCAACACTGTTAGAACTCTTCTTGTTTAAAGAAAATTACATATAATTATCGCCCCTTCTGTGGGAGTTGAAACGTATTTTTAAACTAACATTTAAAAAAAATTCTTTTTTAAATTACCATATTTTTATATTGCGTTTGATATTGCTTTAAGTGGTACCAAAATGATATTTAACTATGTTGTTTACTTTAGCTTCTACAATCGACATATATTAAATGAATAAAACTACACTGTAGGGGCATGCAAGGATGTTGAACTAGCTATTCTTCCTTTAACTGAGGTCTAGGAAGTGACGACACAAACACTACTTTAAGCTGCTCTATCTGAATGTGACTGACGACTATCTGCTAGACTTTCTGACATGCTTTTAAATGGAACTACGGATTAGGAAGGTCAGGGTTTGACAACTAAAGGCCGATAAAACAATAGGAATATTCAGTAGGAAAAAAAAACAATTAAAATTGAAGGTTTCAAAAAACAGAGGACATGTGACGTCATCTAGTCACGTGGTGTTAAAAACAACCGAGGGATTACAAGGAGGGGGTCAAGCGAGCATGGGGGTTGAGGGGTTGTCCAAACAGCAGCACACGAGTCCAGGGTTGGGCGTCTCTGTACAACCCCACGGGCATGCTGGGGTTGTGAAATACCTTGTGGACGGAGGAGATAGTCTGGAAAGCGGTGGACTTCTTCTTCTTCCCGCTGCCACCCTTGCCGTCGTCTGATTGACCGAAAACAAGATGACTTTATATCAAACATGACTTATACGTGCCTTACAAGCGAGACGAACAGAGAGAGGGTCGTGTTCACTGCTTGCAAGATAGGGGGATGGGGGAGAAAGATTTAGACATTCGCCAAGAGAATCTGACAGCTTGGATATCTCGGCTGAAACAAAAGATTGACATTAGAAGCACCTGGGCATGTTTTTGGAGTCTGAAGACTTTACTAAAAACCAATCGATTGTATTGGAAATTTTTTTACTGCCCAGGCACATGTGAATTAGTATACTTGACACTTTTTTTCTCCATGCACGTGAGAAAAAATGTGCGCAAGTCGTGTGAGTAGGTGAAGCGTCGTGCCTGACCTTGTGCATGTTGGACACCGTCTGGAAGCTTCCTCCCTTCTTGCGCGCGGCTACTTTGTTGGAGGTCACTGAACCCGAGTCGTCTAATACATCAAATGGAATCATCAAATCAAAAACAATAAAACACACACATTGGTTACAATAAAAGTAGGCGGCGCCAAGACTTGTTCTAGAAGTGTCAGTGACTTGACATGTGTCAAAGATACCATGTCTGCCCGGATATCAGTGAGTTCAAACAATATCTAAAATAAACCAACGAGAGACAAGAAAGAGTGAAAGTATGTTGGCCTAATTCAATCAAACAGCTATAAATAGAATTTGGAAGTTTTATAATTTCTAGGCGCCGTATTTGAAATATAACTACTACCTTGTTGAAAAACTATTAACAACAAGCTTTCATTTCTTAAAGAAAGAAAAACATTTATTTCACGATGTATTTTGAACAATGAGATCATACTTGTCAATGTAAGTGTGGAAAAATTGTACTGTGACTTTTAACTCCAACGGTATGTGCTGTAAGTTGATCTTTAAAGAATATAATGAACTCTAAACTCACATCAAGTGGAAGAGAACTTATCAACGCTATCAGTTATAGAGAGGGAAGGAACTTATCAACGTTATCAGTTATAGAGAGAGAAGGAACTTATCAACGCTATCAGTTATAGAGAGGGAAGGAACTTATCAACGCTATCAGTTATAGAGAGGGAAGGAACTTATCAACGTTATCAGTTATAGAGAGGGAAGGAACGTGACCTACCGCCTGCACCCTCGGGTGGGGCGAAGAGGATTTGAACAAGAGCCTCCTTGGAGTGACCCAACAGCTCGACCACAGTCTCGTTGAGGGGATCCTTGTTCTTCTCTAGCCAGCCGCAGATGTTGTAGGGCACCTGCAAGAGGGAACCAACACAGTGAGCCTACATTTGACCCCCTGATCCCCTTCGTTAACAAAGTACAACATTACGGTCATGAAGCCTAGAGATTAGATGGTGGTTACGTGAAGTCGTGATTATGTAGAGATTAGATGGCGGGTACGTACACTGCCGGCGTAGTGGTGGAGCTCAAAGTGGGCTTCAACTTGTCCGGCCTTCTTGGGCTTGCCGGCTTTGCCGTAGTTTTTGGACTTTCCAAGATGGTTTCCGTTGAGTTTTTCCAAGAAGGATTTGTCGTCAGCCTTGGGGAACATGCACTCTTCCTCAAGGATGGACAAGATACCCATGGGCTGTAGAGGTAGAGGACATTGATAAACACCGACGTTCTACCTTGCTTTAGTTCATGTAACAACGTCTGAAATTCTAACTTGCTTTAGTTCATGTAACAACGACTAAAACTCTAACTTGTTTAGTTTATGTAACAAAGTCTAAAAGTGTGAGACCAACCTTCTCAATCAAGTCAATGGCGGCCTGCAAGTCCATACCGAAGTCAATGAACTCCCAGTCGATGCCTTCCTTCTTGTACTCTTCCTGTTCCAGGATGAACATGTGGTGGTTGAAGAACTGCTGGAGACGCTCGTTGGTGTAGTTGATGCAGAGCTGCTCGAAGCTGTTGAACTGGTGACAGAAGATATGGAGACAGTTGTTAATCAAAATACATTAAGTCAGAGTTTACTGGTAACCAACATCAAGCTTTAATTTACCCTGCGAATGTTGTTGTAGAAAAAAAAAAGATAGTTTGACTTACGTCGAAGATCTCGAAACCGGCAATGTCCAGCACACCAATGAAGAACTGACGTTTGTTTTTGGTGTCCAGTGTCTTGTTGACACGCTTGACCAGCCAGCCAAACATACGGTCGTACAGGGACTTGGCCAGGGCAGCCACGGAGTAGGTGACCTACAACAGTCAACATCACGTGACAACAAACTATGACCAGTGTGTATGTGACGCCAACTAAACAATGTTACGTTGTATGTTAAGGTCAACATAAAATAACATATTGCTCAGCAAAATATCAAAGAAAATGACATAAGTTACGTACAAACATGCAAGTCGTATTTATTAAATGCTCGTGCCTGTTGGTCAAGAGATGAGCAATGCTGGACGTACCTGGTTCATGTTACGGCCTTGTGTGACGTACTCAGCACCGACCTTGATCTTGGGTTTCAGCAGACCCTTCAACAAGTCTCCGGCGTTGATGCCCAACAAGAAAGCAACCTTCTCAGCCTCTGTCGACGACATTAGGAGTTTTTAATTAAACCATGCAACAAAAAGTTATTTTTATTTAACTAAATCTTTGTGAGAGAGAGACACGTATGGTCACAGTTTGGTTAGCCGTACCAGCTGTTCCATCAGCTTCAGCCTGCTCCTCTCTGGGTCTCTGCTTGAACTTCATCTCACCGAAGTGGATGATGGCGGCGGTACACTTGTAGAGGGAGCCCTTCTCTTCGGCGGTGAAGCCCAGAACATCAAAGGCATCCTGTGGGTGAGAAGGAGTGAACGATCGTTAGTCAAGTACGGTCAAGTTAGAGTCCATGTCATTTATTGATCTGCAGTTTACATTGGGTGAACAAATCGATCAGCAGATAAAAAAGAAGAACTCACGTCTGTGATTTTCATCTCCTCTACGTCATCAATACCGTCGACGACCAAGGAGCCCTGGTTGATGAAGGCGTAAAGGGCGGGATCAGGGGCGACCAACATTTTCTCTGAAATGGAGATAACACATAGAGGTAAATCATCGCTATATGTGTATTTAATGCAGTATCAGGGGCGACCAACATTTTCTCTGAAAGGGAGATAACACATAGAGGTAAATCATCGCTATATGTGTATTCAATGCAGAATGAAGGGAGACTAACATTTTCTCTGAAAGGGCGATAACACATAGAGGTAAATCATCGCTAAGTGTGGATTTAATACAGTATCAGGGGAGAGCAATATTTACTCTGCACAAAAAATAACCCATTGAGTCAGATCATTGAAAGAACCAGCATTGCAGTTTTTCATAAATACTTATCAAAAAGAAGAATTTTTTAAAAGGTATTCTTTTTTTTTAAAAGACTTTTTTAAATAGTTAAAATATTTAACGGTAGAATTTATATAACTTAATTTTGAAAGAAAATACATGTTGAACGTAAATGGACAGGCGATTGCAAATTTCATGTTGGACTGTCATATGTGCACCAACAAGTTGGACTGTCGTATGCCGGATGACGTACCGTGGAGAGTTGGGATGGCAGGAGACAGGAGCTGGTAGAAGATGTGGTAGTTACGCTCGGCTGGTTGCTGGAAGGTGACGCGAGACTTCTCCAACAGATCTGGGAAACAGGGGAACATGAGAAACATGAGAAACGCTGGGTTCGAAACCTGCTGGGTCCAACAGGGGAACATGAGAAACATGAGAAACGCTGGGTTCAAAACCTGCTGGGTCCAACAGGCAAACATTAGGAACACTGGGTTTTAAACTTGTTGGGTCCCAAAAGGGAAATATCAGAACCACTGGTTTAAAAACCTGCTGGGTCGACAGGGAAACATGAGAACTACTGGGTTCAAAACCTGCTGGGTCCAACATGGGAACATTAGAACCATTGGGTTCAAAACTGGCCGGATCGAACAATCGTCTTCAGATTAAAGAACTGGGTTAATATCTCACTTAATAAATCACAGTCCGAATCAGTGTTTATGGTCTTGTAGATGTTCCCCAATACAGCATTTTTTTGTTAAATTTTGTTTTAAAGCTCTTTCGATAATTTCGTTTGATACAATTTGGACCAATCAGATTAATGGCAATTCGTCTATCAACTCATGTCAATTAGTGTATACTAATTAGATCACTAACTTCTACAAATACTCACAAGTCTCAATATCAGCACCAGCGATCTTGCCTTGGGTACCGAAGTGGATACGGATGAATTTACCCTGAAATAGTTGGACCATGCTTTCATCTCCGTTTTGATCACATTTTCCTATCTCTACTGAACTTATTCTTTGAAAATAACAGCTTACTTTTTTTATACATTCCTCATTTAATAAGCTCTTTTTTTTATAAAACAATATTTATTTTTAATTTAATATTTTCTATTTAGCAGCTAGTTAATGGTTTCTATAAAAATTCATTTATTCTATCTATTTTGCAAAATCCATATCGAGTAAAACTCATGGTTGGTTTGAGCTTTCTTTAACCCATAAATAGAGCCCTTGGTAGTCTCGTTGATTCAGTACTTACAAAACGTGATGAGTTATTATTACGAATGGTCTTTGCATTACCAAAGGCCTCCAGTACTGGGTTAGCCTGAATAATTTGGTCCTCTAGATTGCCTTTCTGTTAGCCCTCAAGGCAACCCGACACATGATTGAGCACACACAGGGAATGGGCGTCATACAGGGTTGTTCACGCAGGTTGTTCACGCAGGTTGGTGAGAATGGTTTAAAGGTTGGCAAGGTTGGAGGGGGAAAAAAATAACGTGGGGGAAAATACAAAAGGCATTAGTAAAATAGATTTTGTTGTACACCGGTTGGTGAGTTGTTAATCGTTGTAGATTTTTTTTTGTCAACGACAACAAACGTCCGAAGAGCTGTATGACTAGCTGGAGACTAGGCTGCCAGCAGTGAGAAGAGCTGCTCGGAGTTTGTTATTGTGGAGAGTGTGAGTTTAGATTCTACAGGATGAGACTATGGGTTCTACAAGATTAGTCTAGTGTTGCCAAGAAGTTAGTCAGACGGAGTTAGAACCTACTAGTTGAGAGGTTTGTGAAGGTAGGTTTTAAGAGGTGGTGATAGGTTCAGAGGTTTTGGGAAATCAAATGAAAACACAGGTTTCAGGAATTTGGGTTGCGGAGTGGGGGGAGTACATAGGTAGGTTGTAGGTAAATTTTAGGTTGGGTGAAAATGTAGAGGCAAACTAGAGGTTGGGTGAAAATAGGGGGTGTGGTTGAGGTTGGAGGTGGGGTTGAGGGAAAAACAATCTGTTAAAAGAGATTAATGTTTCGAGGTTCTACGCAACAGCTAATCCGATACCATCGGAGATTGGTTGGATCTACAGGTAGCTAGCTTTGGTAGGAGGACGCTAGGGGTTATAAAACAAAGGGGGGTGGGGATTGTTAGCTCAAGAACCGGGGAGTTCCAGATCTTTCTGTGGACTTCTCGCGACCTGGATGGCGAGTACTCACAAATCGGGACGAGTTGTTGTTTCTGGTGGTTTTAGCGTTACCGTAGGCCTCCATCACTGGGTTAGCTTGCACGATCTGGTCTTCTAGGGTGCCGGGGCCCTGTTAGTCAGGGTGGGGGGAGGGTGGGGGAAGATAATACAATAGCATGAAGGGTCTGGTCTGATGGCTGGTGCGGGGGCGGGCAGGTGGAGCCGTGTTTTGACAGGGGTTAGTATGCATAGCAGCGGCGTACAAACAAAACAGGTATAGAGGTTGGTGTTAAAGAGTCAGAAAATACAGAAATAGAAACACAGGTCGTTGATCTCTTGGAACAGCTTGTCTGGAGGTGCGTCAGTGCCACGATTTCACGTGAAACGTGAATTTTTAAAATTAAAAACATAAACAAAAGCAGCGTCAGTGAGGCTGGAATAAACCAGCGAGTCACGTGACGCGTGGGATGCAGTCAAGCGAGACCTCCTAACGAGGCGTGGATGCAGCAATAAAACCACCTGCTAAAGGTGAGTTCATTGTGTAAGAGCGTGCTCCTATCATACAGCGAGCGTTGACCTCATACTAAGGTCGTTAGTACGTCTCTTCAACTTCGAGACAAATGTTCAAAACTCGTTCAGTTGGTTTTTTTTTTTATTTCTTGTGGCGGGGTTTACTCACGAATCTGGACGAGTTGTTATTACGGGTAGTCTTGGCGTTACCGTACGCCTCCATGACAGGGTTAGCCTGTACAATCTGGTCTTCTAGGGACCCCATTTTCTGAGGTGGCAAGGTCAGGGTCAGGCAGGCGGTTCCAGTGAGGAGTCAGGGTAAGGTTCCATGACGGAGTCAGGGTTAGGTTCCATGGCGGAGTCAGGGTAAGGTTCCATGGCGGAGTCAAGGTTAGGTTCCATGGCAGAGTCAGGGTTAGGTTCCAGGGTCAATAGTATCAGAGGCAGATCAAGGATACGTATCAGAGTTTGGGATTTTGGGGGGTTGAAGAAAAAATTGTTTAGTTAGGTGGTCGAGACAGGAAAATCCTTCAGGAATTTTTCTCTTCCTGTGGCGGGATTTTCCGAATGTTGCCGGTTTTGATGGATAGAGTGTGAAGAAAATGTTAATACAGAAAAATGATGTTATGAAAAGAAGAGATTTTGTGTATACCGGATGTAAGTTCTGCAAGGGTTTCATTGGCTGGGGACACTAGACTGATGGGTTATGGGTAGTCTGGGAGTAGTTTAATTTAAACTAAACCAAGGGTACGTAATTAGGGATATTTGTAAATTAGTGGAAATACTGGTTTAAGAAAGTAGTATGCTAAGAATATAAATTCTGAGGTAGGGGTGATATAAGCTAAGATCTGTGTTAGGGCGGGGGTGGGGTGTTTTATTTATCAGTAGTCTCACTAATAAAATATATATTTATAAAAGTGGAAACTGCTTTAAAATAAGTTGTGTAAGTAGTAGGATAAAAAAAAGGGGAAAAATAGATTTAACGTATTTGTTATTGGTTTTGAAAAAGTATTAATAGAGTTTTACAATGTCGAGGGCGGGTGTGGGGAAGGATGGACTTGGAGGATTGCTGGTCGGTGGAGGTTAGGGGTTGACGGGGGAGGTTGGCAGGAGGTTAGGGTACTCGGAGGGTTGGTCCGGACTCCGAGAGGCTACTTACGAATCTGGAAGAGTTGTTATTACGGGTTGTCTTGGCGTTACCGTAGGCCTCAAGGACAGGGTTGGCCTGTACAATCTGGTCTTCTAGTGTGCCTTGTTTCTGTGGGGGGCGGGGTGGGTGGGGCGGCGAGAACAGGGGGGTCACCGACATAGGGAGTCGTAGACAAGAGGGGTAATCGACGACAATTTGGAGGGGTGAAACGAAGGGTGGGGTTGTCGTTTATCACAGAGGGTGGGTGTGACGATTGAACGAAGGTCACAAACAGAGGTGGGGGTATTGCCCAGCGGTGGGCGATAATATAACCGTACAGGTTTTGATATAGACAGGTGTTTATTATAGGGGGTTGCGGTGTGTTAAGACATGTTTAGGTTGGATTTGAGACAAGACATGTAATCGTGAGGTAAGACAAGGTGAGAACAACACAAGGTACAGACGCGACAAATAAACAAACAGAAAATAATAATAATATGTTAGAAATAGTAAGGAATGATATTTTGTAGAGGTGATTTTGTCAGTGTGTGTCAGCAATATATATAATACATAAACAATGATTTAATTAAAAATAGACTTAATTAAATCTACATATAAATATAATTTTAAATATGTAAATTTATTATAAAGTATTTTATAATGTAAATGTAATAAATAAAAATAATATACAAGTATAAACATAAATACTTACTTTAATCATTCATAAAGCATTAGGCAGCATGCATATATATGTATCAAATATTAATATAAAAAAATAATATTATATGTAACAATGCAAATATTTACATAAATTAATAAAATCATATGTAAATATTAATAAATATTAAATGCACACAGAAGAGATTAGTAGGAGCTAAATGCTAATGAGAGTTAAGCAAGCGTTTCTCTGATGAGTGGCTCCAGGTTCGTTGTTTCATATCTACCTCCTGTTGTGTGAGTTAGATCAGAGGGTATGGTTATTGTCTAAACTACGTCATTCTAAGAAATAATAGGATTTTGGTGTTTCTTCTTCTAATGCAGATTAGATCACCTGAAAGATTATTTCTAAACTTATCTTCCATTAGAAAACTGTTAGGCTTATTTCACTGAAAGAAAATCACTACGATTAATACTAGAGGAGTAATTAGAAAACAAAGGGGAGTAATTCACTACTTGTTATTAAGGGAAACTACTCTCTCTACCGCTGTACTAGATATCTGGTTCTAGACTGGCCATGCAGGTCAAGGGTGGGGTTCAAACGGTGGTCAGCTCTACAGGTCAGAAGATGATCTACCTTCTTGGCAGCGGCCTCAGCCTCGGCTTCTTCGCCCTTCTTCTGCTGACCGGCGGCGACGTTGGCGAAGTACATGATTACCTTCTTGGTGTTCTCAGTCTTACCGGCACCAGACTCGCCACTGTGGTCAACAAGCGGGGAGACATCTTAGTCATATCTGGACAACCCGTGTGGGCCAGGGGGGGTTAAACACTGGGGGGGGGGGACTGACCGGCTCCCTCGGCTAGGTCACGTGGGATCAGCGCGTAGGGCGTGACATGAGACAGGACATTTAGACATAAGCTGCCGGACAACAGCGTAACCATGGCAACAACAAATAAACAAAGCTATGAAAAAATACATGCGTCCTGTTTACATACATATATATATATATATATATATATATATATATATAATATATATATATATATATATATATATATATATATATATATATATATATATATATATATATATATATATATATATATATATATTTATTTATTTATTTATTTATTTATTTATATATATATATATATATATATATATACTAGCCGTCCCGGCCAGGCCCTGCTCTGGCTTCTGTGAAAAACCTTTCTGTTAAAGACCATTACCTGTGTGTTTAGTAATCATCATAAACCCGGCATTGCCCACCCAAACCACCACCAACCAAAACCAAAACAACAAAACGCAAACATAACGCTAACACAATTACAAATACAAACGAAAACAAAAACTTACAACAAACCAACCACAAACACAAACACCAATACGAACACAAAGAAAAAAGCAAACGAAAACAAACCAAATCCAAACACAAAACCAACCACAAACACAAACACAAAGAAAAAAACACAAAAGAAAAAACAAACGAAAACAAACCAAATCCAAACGCAAAACCAACCTCAAACACAAACACAAACACAAACCCAATGAAAATAAAACACAAACGAAAAAAGAAAGAACAAAAACGAACCAAATCAAAACGCAACCACTAACGCAAACCCAACCTAAACACAAAGAAAACACTAACGCGAAAATAAACGCAAAGTGCTCACGGGGCTGAATCGCCTGCTTCAACTTAATAAACGACTATAGTACCCCAACTTATTCATAGCCTTTTGCACTCACTTTAATGAACGTAGGCGCGAAACCGAACACGGGAGGCCCGGGACCCCAAAAAGCACCCTGTCTGGGCGCCAGAGGACGCACCATGACGTCACCGCCTGATTGAACTTAGTAAACGCCTATAGTGCATAACTTATTCATAGTCTTTTGAACTCACGCGAACGTAGATACCATAGCGTACACCGGAAGGCCCGGGGCGCCAAATAGCACCCTGTCGGGGTGCCGGAGGACGCCCGGATTTGATTCACTTAAAGACTATAGTAACCTTTCTTATCCATAGTCTATCGCACTGTTCAAAACAAAATTATGCAGCATAGCGCTCACATGATAGCCCAGGGTGCCAAATCGAACCGTGCAAGGGCGCCGGCGGACGCGCCTGTTTCAATTTAGTGAACAAAAATGATAATACTCCAAGCTTATCCGTAAATGGAAAGAAATAAACATATAGGATTTGTAGGACCTGGCTTATTAAATGTTATTGATTTAAAAAAAAATTATTGAACAGTATGTTCAGTGTATAGAATAAATAAAAGGCAGTGTTAAAAATACCTAACGACATTGCACTTAATCAATCCCCGCTAATTATGTAATTATTTTTTTTTCTTAACACCAAAAACAAAGTAATAATAAAATGTAAATTTTTTCTTCTTAAGAATTTTTTTTTTATTAAAGGGAAGTAACTGTGCAGTCAATACATTTCCGACACAATTTTAGAAATTTTATAAACGTCGATACACTTTTTAAAAATTTTATGTCGCGTTCATAATTGAAAATTCTTCTTCTAAGTAAATAGAGTGAAAATTGTTTTTAAAGACTTTCAATGGTAATTTTTTGACTCGTAAATTTAGACTATGAGCACGATAAAAAATCTAACACTTAAATCCGTAGAAGTGTCAACGACAAACTTTTTTGTTTTTTGCCACACGTTACAGAACTGAGCTTTATATATTAGATATATATATATATATAAAGCAGATGTGCATATCATTTTAGAATAAGATAAATATATTCAGCCGCTTTTACTTCGTTTAAAACTTTACATAACATTAGAGAAAGTATGCGTATAGAGGCATAGCTGGTTTAATGTTTAGTTCAATTAGGCACAGTATGATTACATCGGTACTTAATGAACCATTCTAACCTAAACCCTAGCTACGCCTCTGTAGAGTGAAAGAATATATCAAAAGCGCATATATCATATATTGATGTACACAGCGCATATGCAAAAGTGGACACAGACATAAGAACAATAATGTTTGATATTGTGCAAAAAAAATTGTGTTTATATCTTGACAAACGAAGATATAATACAACGAGCAGTCGTGACTGCGCATGCGTGCGCGAGAGACGATATAAGGAGCGTCTGCGCATGCCAGGCGCGCGCTGGAGCGGGTGCCCCAGGACTTACGTAAGGACCTTCGTTTTTGTTCGTTTTGTCCCGCTCTCGCTTTAGATCGGCTGCCACGTGGGCGAAGTACTGGATGACCTTTTTGGTACTCTCAGTTTTACCGGCTCCGCTCTCGCCACTGATTGCAAAAATTAATTAAGCAAATTTTGATTGCATTCTTGTACTTGGAGTAATTACAAATACTACCTCCTTCGTGTAATTGAGACGATTTAAATTACTACAATTTTAGATTTATAAACGTTTAACTTTAAGATTAACATTACCTGGAAATTGAAAAGCTAAAAATAATTCAGATAGAATATATCATGTAAGTTTATATAACGAAAGCGGAGGGGAGTTTCTTGTAGGTATGCTCGTCAAAATCTTCCTTAACATTTTAAGTCACGAGCGTGGACAAGGTATGGCGTGCTTGAATGGACTCAACCAAATTATTATTTCGCTTTTTTTATGCTCGTCCCTAACCAAAGCATGGACTTCATGCACCTTCCCGTCCCACCCTGGTCTCCCCACCCTTACCGCACCCAAATCTACCCCACCCCACCCGAATCTCCGCCACCCCACAAAATTTTCCCCACCCACAAAATTTTCCCCTCCTCACCCGAATCTCCCCACCCCACCCAAATGTACCCCACCCCACCCAAATCTCCCCCACCCCACAAAATTTCCCCCACACCACCCGAATCTCCCCCACACAACACACTACTCACGTGATCAACATAGACTGGTTCTCACGATCTGTAAACATAAGAACATAGATCAGTTGTACACAATGTAATACAATTTCAAGAACTGCTACCATATGACAACAAGAGATAGATCAATTGTACACAATATAAAACTTTTTCAAGATCTGCTGCCATAAGATAACAAGAGATAGATCATTGCACGCTCTTTGGCATTTTTTAGACACATTGTATTTGCGTCGTGGGTATTGAGAACTAGTTGAATTGGTCAGACAAAACAATGTCAGACAACACAATGGCAGACAACACAATGGCAGACAACACAATGGCAGACAACACAATGGCCGACAACACAATGGCAGACAACACAATGACAGAAGCACATTAACAGATATCTGAATGTCTGCAGTTCAGGGCATGCAGGTAAATCAGTACCTGGTGTTCTACCCAGAAATACCTGCGCGATGTACCTGAACAGACAAACAAGCTGCACGTGAAACTAGGGGGGACAAAGGGAGATGACTCGGGGAATTGCTGTCAGTCCCAGGGTACTACCTGGGGGGGGGGGGAATTGCTGTCAGTCCCAGGGTACGGCCCAGGTAAAATGACGGAGCTGGCCCATGTCCAACTTAGCCCTCCTGACAAGGATATAACCTTCAAAGCTAAAAGATCGGATCACGCCGGGGTGTAGCATGTTCAAACAAAGAAGTTTCTAGAACCTTTACCAGGGACAACATGACCTGCTTATTGACGGAGAGATCAGTGCGAAAAGTTAAAAACATTGCATCTCATTATGACCCTCCCATTCCGCAAACAGGATTTTGATGAATGTCATTATTCTTAGGAGTATAAATCAGGACAAGCTTTAAATATTAAGATGTACACTGACTCCTACATTGAGTTATATTAAGATGTACACTGACTCCTAGATGGGATGTAATTTGTTGTAATATGCTGTCCAATAGTTCAATATTTTCTTTGCTACCTACATCTTTCCTACACGACACAGTAGTATTTTCCCCTACAGAATACACTACGTGCTTACTCCTACATCTTGCGCTATTTACCCCCCCCCCCCCCCGGACGGCAAACTGAGAACCTACGGTTAGACCACTAAAACCAATTACATCGTAAATACTAGAAGGTCTACAGTTAGACTGCCAGAACCAGCTAGAAGTGTTACCATCTAAAAGACCTACTGTTAAAGTTCCTGCTAGAAGACCTACTGTTTAATTAACAGCTAGATTACCTACTGTTAAAACACCAGCTAGATGTGAAAGTTAAGTTCCCTTTTCAAACCCGACAGTCTATAGGGCAAAACAGTACAGTTCACTTGTTTCTGTGACCTCGGCATATGAAGAGATAGTGTGGTCAGCACTATGCCCAGCCGCCTTTACTTTCCCTAACGTGAGTTAGGTACCCATCAGAGTTGGGTGGACTCAGGGGCGGTCTATTGTTAAACTACCAGTTAGATGACCTACTGTTAAACTACCAGCTAGACGACCTAGTTAAACTACCAGCTAGATGACCTACTGTTAAACTACCAGCTAGATGACCTAAACTACCGTATAGAAGACCTAAACTACCGTATAGAAGACCTAAACTACCGTATAGAAGACCTAAACTACCGTATAGATGACCTACCTTGCAACATGTTTTGGTAGGCGTTATCAGAGATGGAGAAGAGATGGGGTGGCATCTCAGCCTTTCGCTTGCCTCGGTAGGCGTTGATGATCTTCTGGGTGTAGATGGGCAGACGACGGTAGGGGTTGATGGCCACGCAGAAAAGACCGGAATAGGTCTGCAGGTGAGAAAAACCAGGTGTTAGAGTGTTTTGTCCGGGTTTCAGAAGGTGGGGATATATGTGTTAGAGTGTTTTGTCCGGGTTTCAGAAGGTGGGGATATATGTGTTAGAGTGTTTTGCCCGGGTTTCAGAAGGTGGGGACACAGGTGTTAGAGTGTTTTGCCCGGGTTTCAGACGGTGGGGATACAGGTGTTAGACTGTTTTGTCCGGGTTGCAGACGGTGGGGATAAAGGTGTTAGAGTGTTTTGTCCGGGTTTCAGAAGGTGGGTAAACAGGTGAAATAGTGTTTTGTCTGAGTTGTTGGATTGGTGGTAAAACATGGTTATAAAAATTTTCTTCTAAGTTGGTTGAAAGTTGGAGAAAGTGTTGGTAATATGTAACGTGGAACGCTCTGAGTATTTGGAACAGGTAAAATGTAATCTTCAGATTTAGAAATAAACACTTTTTGAATTGCAAAGAATATAGTGAATTATTAATAAATAATGTGTTGCATGTCCTTTTTTTAACCTGGCCTTATTCATAAAAGTAAAAACGTGTACAGTTTATAGTGAAAAATTAAATATAGGTGGCTTTCGATGAATTGCAAGCAGCTTCGTATAGTCTTGTTTTAAAATTGTGTACTGCTTTGTTTAGTATAGTCTTGTTTAATATAAAATGTTACCTTACTTATACTTCTATCAGGCATTAAAATTTGGTGTCTCGTATTGCTAGTTAGCGATTGAAATGTGGTGTTGTATATTTTTTTTTTGTCTATTATTCTGTGTTCACGTCTGTCTGTCTGTCTGTGTGTGTGTCTGTCTGTTTGTCTGTCTGTCTGTCGGGCTCCACCTACGTAGATAAGACCAGCACTGTAACGGCTCTTCAAGTTGTGGAGTACAGAAGCCTCGTTCAGGTAGGTCATGTTGGCCATGTCGTCGATCTTCTCGAACTTGGGAGGGTTCATCTGTTGGATGTCGTCCTTCTTGAAGGCCTTGGTCTGTAGGGAGGGAGACATAGGGGGGATATTAGCTCAGATCTTAACGATGAAAAATTTAAGCTCAGATTTTAACGGTGAAAAATTTCTCAATCTTACTCAACGTGTTTAAGTTTTGTGTATTCTATTTTTGTACCAGTAATTAGCATTTATAGCTTCTCCTAAAAGACCTCCCAAAATCTCTTAACACGTAACGATAAATCCATTTTTTTAAAAATAAAATTGAGTATAAAACATCTTGTCTTTTGATATATTTTGAAACAACCAAACTATATATTCGAAATTTTAATCGGTCAACTTAAAAACAAAATACTAAATCCCAACTACACAATTTTCCACACTCGTCCATAAATCCCTGTACTCCGTGATCAATCTCCATATCCTAAACATACACACAAAAATCCCATTAACCGTACTTTCTCATTATCTTTTTTATCCCATAATCCCCGAACAAACTTCATAATCATATACCCAACCTTCCCTCTTTTCCAGCAAAAAACACCATACCACATAACCGTCCTATCCAAGTAAACACCATACCCCTAACCGATTCCATATGCCACCCTACCACTATATCCCATCACATCTCTGACTGAACTACCTCATTGTGTTTGTTGATCTTGACCGTGATTTCTCCCCCACCCCCCACAACCCCACCCCTCCCTGTATGACCTACCTCATTATTTTTGTTGATCTTGACCGTGATCCCCCCACCCCCACCCCCCCCCCCAACCCCACCCTCCCTACCTGACCTACCTCATTGTTCTTGTTGATCTTGACCGTGATCCCCCCACCCCCACCCCCCCCCCCACAACCCCCACCCCCTCCCTGTGTTACCCACCTCATTGTTCTTGTTAATCTTGACCGTGATCTCCCCCCCCCCATCCCCCCAACCCCCACCCCTCCCTGCCTGACCCACCTCGTTGTTCTTGTTGATCTTGACTGTGATCTCCTCGCCCTTGGTGCTCTGGATCTCCGCGGCCAGAAAACCTTCCTTGTGGTCTGGCACCCAGCAGGCCTTCTTGCCGTCAAACGTCTGCGTCTGCTCGGCCATCATCTTCTTCCGGTCGACCACCAGGAACTGGAAGTCCGGGTCGTTAACGTCTAAGCCAGACATGCTTGCAGGTGTCTCGTCAAAGCTCTCGCCCTTGTGGCAATGTCTCTAGAAGATGCGAAACTGAATCAAAAGGACAGAGACTTGAACCGGGAGGTCTTGGTGCGCGCTTAAGTCAAGACCTACGTCAGAACAGCCTGGGGAGGAGAGACAAAGGTCAAGGTTAGACAACTGAATCAAAAGCACAGACAAGATTTATGCTAGAACAGCATGGGGGAGCGAAACAAACGCCTATCTTAGATTGCTTATAACAGTATGGACTTGAAACTACCATGAAAATAGACACACAAAAAGGGACAATAATTCGGTGAATAAAATGGTTTTTAAACTATCATAAAAAGTCAAATCAAGGTAATTTTCATATTGAGAGTGCTTTGAAAAAATTCTATGAAAAAAATGTAGGTTTAAAACTGTCAATGAAAATCAAATCAAGGGAATTTTTATATTGAAGCTACGATAAGAAAATACAATGGGGAAAGTATATATTTAGTATACCATTAATAAAAATCTCATTTTGGAATTGTTACCCCTTCAAGGGAGAGTTCCGTGGTGTGTAAAAAAGGGGAAGTAATTGCATGCCAGATAGACATGAGATAATTATACGATATTTTAAACGTAACTTTATTGTAAAAAATACATTTAACAATAAAACCGCTTGATATTAAATTATTTAAATAATTCTAGGGTCTAGACATCAATTTGCAAATTCGTTTAAAAATTTTTTAAATATTTATTTAGCCAAATTTTAATTAAACATGGCATGTTTTGATAGTGAATTAGTTCAGCTTTAGCGTTTCGTGTAATAGTAGTGTAATAGTAGTGTTAGGGTTAAGTTTACTGTTGTTAAGTTTGCGATTAGGAAGAAATTACTTTATTTACAGTCGTTAATTGTTTTTGACGCCGCAGCCTAGAGTTGGGCCGTCTTTGTGTGTTTCGATCAGAGCTAGTCACAAAGTTGACTTCAAGATTTTTAAAAACCTGGATGTCGTTTGCGAGTTTAACGTAATCAAATGTACCTAATAAGAATCGTTTGATTTTACACATGCATACTCAGTAAAATTAGAGTTTATATGTGTATTGACCTTGGCTGGGTGGACTCGGGACGTTCTACAAGTCCGAACCAAGATCCGAACATGATATGATCGCGGTTAGTATTCAAAAGCTCTACCAGTTGACCACACCGTCCCTAAATTCAAACTAAGATTTTTACTGTAAATTGTTTTAATGAACAGAACAACGAGAAAGGGCGTCATTCAAAGATCGCTTGATGAAATTTTTAAAAATTTTTAATTTGTTTTAAATGTCTTGAGAATTAACAGCTATCAAATTTTATTAGACCATTGGTTTTTTGACGTTTTATTTAAAGGAACATAAAGCTTCAAAATAAAGCTTATCACCCAATATTGTCGATTAAGGGGAATCACTCGTATAACCATGTAAAATTATTTCTAGTCAAGGTTAACAAAATCTACTGAATATTGTGTTATTATTACACTATCAATATATCCTCGCATTTTTCTTTTAAAGTAAATTTGCTTCGATATTCGGGACACTAAATAACAGTTAAAATAAATAATTTGAAAACTCACGTTTTTAATACTTATTTTGGCATGATTAAAACAATGTAAAATTAAACCTCAACAATGTGATAGCTGCTAAACTTTCCTGAGATGGATTTTTATCTAATTATAATTACATTTCTTCAGTTTAGGCATTAGAAAAAAATAAAAGGGTAGTTGTGCTTAAATTAAGCGAATATAAAAACATGATATTTCGGTGTGCCATAAGGGGTCGGCGTGGTCGAGTCGGTAAAGCTCAAGGTTGCTAAACCGAAAAGTCTTGAGTTCGAACCCTCGTTAGCTGGGAACAGCAACTCTTCTAGGAGAGACAACTCCAAAATCAAACAACTGCTGCCTTGTAGTTTGTTCTTGGTTGGACAAAGGCTTTGGAAGCAAATCCAAAAAGAAAAGCAGGCTGAAATCGGAGTCAATGGCCACAATGGTGCATAACCAGTTGACACGTATACTTAATTGTGTTGGAGGGGGATACCTTCCAACACTAAAATTAAGAACGAAGAAGAAGAAGAAGGTGTGCCATAATTCCTAATTTAAAACTACACAAGACATTATGAGTTGTTTGATTCGTTTCCCTAACGGTAAATTTTATTTTCACAACTTTTTCTTAAGCTTTACTAAGAAAAAATTGGCTTTTGATCTTGCTATTTTTATTTCCCATGTCAGATGTCAGTAATATTACTTAAAGTGATGAGCGTTTCCTAAACTGCCTTGTCAGAAAGCCATATCCGTTCCAGTTTTTTTTAATCTTCAGAATTACAGGAATGCTGAGCAGGATTTTATTTGTGGAGTTAAGTCACTTTAATAAAACTGGTAAGATACTGTAGGCAGTTCTTATTAAGTTATGGTATCTTATCTACTCATATAAACTATCAGGCCTAATCACATAACATACGTTGATTTACTTTTAACTGTGACAGGTTATAACACTAAGTGCTTAAAAAAGTTTTGAGCCACTAAGTTTAATTAAATATGTTGACGTAATTAAGGCTGAAGTGTGTAGCGCTCTGGCGACTAAGTCCACGTACTAAAACTGGCCAGGCCACTAACAAACATGAACACTGAGTTCATTAAATTCAATCGTTATTTACAACACCCTTTCCATTACATTTCTTGATTGAAATAAATTTTAATTATAACACCGTTTAATTAAAGCACCTTTTAATTAAAGCACCTTATAATTAAAGCACCTTATAATTAAAGCACCTTTTAATTACAACACCTTTTAATTAAAGCAGCTTATAATTAAAGCACCTTTTAATTACAACACCTTATAATTACAACACCTTTTAATTATAACTCCTTTTAATTACAACACCTTATAATTAAGGCACCTTGGTTCCAGCCGGCAAGAGCAGGTAATCCAAAATGAAACCGACAAGAAAAAAAGTTCACAAGTTTTTCGTGTGTAGGTAAAGTGGAAGGAGGGGGGTATGGCATCAGGCTGGGGGTCTATAAATAAATCTAGAGCACATGAGCACATCAGTTTTCTAACGTTGGCTCAAAAGGTAAGTTTTTTTAAAGGGGGGAGGGGGGGTGTGCTGGCACTGCGGAGTACACGCCCCCGCACGTGCATGCTGGTGTGCGCATGCGCGTGACGTCATCCCCTTCCCATATTTGGCACACCGAGGCATGCAGGTAAGAAAACAAGATGGCCGCCACAGAATGTGTTGAGTTTCATGTTTTCCAACGAATCTTAAAACACCCAATCGCTAATCACTCTGGCTGGCTCATGTTTGAGAACAATACATTTACCGGTGCCAGAAAATTGGTGCTTCAAAGACCTGGCTGATGAAACAAAGCAAAAAATGTTGGGAGGGGGGGAGGTGTAGGTGAGCACTCATGCAGGTGCAGTGTCATCCACGTCGAGTGCAGGGAGGGGGGAGGAGGGTGCACAATCCAGGAACACATCCATGAAATAACGTGTAATCCATGTGTCACTTAATCCAAGCTGGAGCTTTAATCCATGAGTGGGTGGAGAAAAAAACAGCACACACAGAAACCAAAACGGCTGTTAAAGGGTTAAGGTAAGGCTTTTACAAGGGCATGACACTTAACCCCTTGATGACTAAACCAATTAACCTCAAATACCCAACACATGTTTAAACTTTAACCCCTATTCATGTACACATTTCTAAAGTTGTACACGCACAATGTAGCTTGTGTACTAATTCTAACTATGAAGCTGCAGATTCACTTTTAATAATATCAGGTATATAATTGTATTCTAGTCTTTAGTTTCGTTTCGTTTCAGTATTTGTTTTTGTAAAAAGAAAAGGGTACTTTCCTATGAAATATCGCAGAATATTCTTTAGTGTTAACATATCAAGTTGAAGATTTATTGGGATTACAGTTACAATAGCCGCATGAATGAATATAAAATGAAGGGCAAAATGGTTATCCCTATCGCGTAAAGATTGACATTCTAATGCTAGAGGTCGTTTATAGTTTACTTCGGATCTGCATTCATCTTACACAAAAGTTAGTGTTAATTCTAGCTGTAAGATGTAAGGTATTAAATCTACAATGTGTTGATGTAATAGGCTAAACCATTTAATTTACAATTAGAGCTACTATAAATGAAACATTGAAAAAGTATGAGGAAGGATTGACGAACTAGAACGGCAAGACAGATAACTCTTTTTACTGGGAGTAAGGAATTATGGTTTAAGATCTACGCAAGAGATAAATGTTTTGGCTGGTGGGTTGAGCAATGTTAGCTGGGCTAAGGAAAACACGGCAAACCAAAATAAAATAAAAAATATATTAAAGGGAGGCAAACCAGTATAAAACATTAAGGGGAAATAACAAACCAGAGCTACTTACGATGCAGGGCTGTTCTACGGATGCTGACCTCCTGTACCTTTATATACCCCGACTGGCTGACATCCCTAGCCTGGTTATGTAAGACGAGATCCTATTGGCTCTGGCTGCGTACCCGACCAATGGCGTGTGGCGTAACATCGAGGCCCAGGTGCTCTCTATAAGGAAGATAAGAAATTCTTGAGTCCCAGGGCAGAGATAGAGCGGCTCACTTCAGCAAGACGGTGGGCAGGGAGCCACGAGGGTAGCGCGTGAGCACGAGGGGAATACCACACACGGGTGGGGGGGGGGGGTGCACCTGTACCTGTGTGTATAGGTAAATATGGGGTGGGGGGGGACTAAACGATACATACTTTCTTGACTGAAGCTGACTTATTTGTTTTTTGTGTAGTTTACCGGTATGTGTGTTGGTTGTGTGGGAGATGTTCTTGTTCTGTGTGATACATGTTGTATATGGTGTGTGTTGTATGTGTGTTGGGTGTGTGTGTTAGGTGTGTGGGAGATGTTGTATATGGTGTGTGTTGTATGTGTGTTAGTTGTGTGTGTTAGGTGTGTGGGAGATGTTCTTGTTCTGTGTGGACGTGTTGTATATGGTGTGTGTTGTATGTGTGTTGTATGTGTGTTAGGTGTGTGGGAGATGTTTTCGTCACACATGTTCTTATCACAATTGTGCTGTGTTCTACGTTTGCGTGTTAATTTTATGTGTTACTGTGTGTGTTTAGCCCCTAGTTTATGTGTTACTGTATGTGTTTAGCCCATCGTTTATGTGTTACTGTATGTGTTTAGACCATGATTTATGTGTTACTGTATGTGTTTAGCCCCTAGGTTATGTGTTACTGTATGTGTTTAGCCCATAACATTGAACTATAATGTAGTCAGGTTTTTATCTTTGGTTATGTTTTTAAACCTGATACATGTATAATATTGTATAATAAACTATGATAAACACATATATATTGTGCGTGTTGTGATTTCCTTCATGTTGTTGTATTAGTAATTTTTAGCTGTATATATTGTATGTTTGTGCGTGTTACATACACCTTGGATATAGCCTACATGATTTATATGTGAATGTTAGATATGTGTGTTATGTGTATATGTGGCATGTTAGAAACAGTATAATATCTATGTGCTGCCTATATCTCTATGTATGTGTAAGGTGTAAGTAACATGTGAATTAAATATTGTTACATATAAAAGCTTGCAATAAATCCGAAATGTATATGCAATGTTCATCTGATCAGTTTGCTAATAAAGGTACATATGGACTTATGTTTATGATTTATAGAAGTTTGGAATCGCCTTGATCATAGACTTGAAGCATATATGAATTAGACAAGTAGTTTACATGTACACTTGTCAGCATGTAATGAACGAATTTCAAATCTTTCAACTATTCCGTATTCACAAAAACAGATTAACTCTACCTTACCTGCCTCATGTTCTTTTGTGTTGTGATACGTTTGTTGACTTTGTAACCGGCCGACTTGACCGGTTAGCCAATAAGAACCAGATTAACATATAATCCCAGCCCTAAAGACACGGTAGGACGGGCAATAGTTTTCATAGAGACGTCATCGACACTTCAACAGAAAGTCGAGGGTGTTTCAGAAAGATGAGGGAGTTACTAGGGTGGGGGCAGGGGCGTAGCGAGGGGGGGGGCGGGGGGTGCGGATCGCACCGGATGACACCATTTAGGGGGGTGACACCAAGGCAAAAAATAGCAAAATATATAGAGAAAAACTTGAGGGGGGTGCAAATCGAAAGTTTGAGGGGGGGGGGGGTGTGCAAATCGAAAACTTGAGGGGCGGAGTGCAAATCGAAAGTTTGAGGGGGAGGGGTGCAAATCGAAAGTTTGAGGGGGGGTGCAAATCGAAAACTTGTCCCCGGGAAGGGTCGCAACGCCTCTGGGGGGGGGGGGGGGTGACACCATTAAGTGCCGCACCGGGTGACACCCGACCTCGCTACGCCACTGGGTGGGGGTGTATACCAACATGGAGTTAAAAGTCTTTTGAGAGAGATAGAGGGTGCCAATTCATCACAGGGAAAATGTTTGTATAAAATTAATTTAGTAAACTTAACCAAAGTCTTAAAACAAGAAATTATTTGTTTTCCGTTGTTGTTTTTTTTTTAAATATATATATATATATTTTATCGGTTAGTATGTTTGTTTGTTTAGTTGTTTCTTAGTCAGTTTGTTTGATTTTTTAAAAAAAATAGAGAAAGAGGGATATTTAAAATAAACAACAAATATTTAAACTAGAAGTATGTATTTGATCATGTCGTGGGAACATGGAATCTGTAAGTTGTTTCATGTTTTTTCTTTTCTCGTGTACAAATACAACCTAGCGAGTTGTGCCAGCCAAGAGATTTGCTGATGCGGCTCTAGGAGCTGAATGAGGGTGTCTCAAATCAAGGGGAGACGACACGAGCCAACTTTGAAATCAAGGGGAGACAACATCAGCCAAGTATAACTCCAGTAAAAATGATTGATTTTTTTTTCTTATGAGTCTTTTTGGGGACACAGCCAAAAGTAATCACTGACATCCACATTCTCTGCCAGCTAATTAAGGGCAAGGATGGGTGCAAAAAAGTGCTTGGACTATAACTATTACTGCTGCATGATTGAAAGGTTACTATATATATATATATATATATATATATATATATATATATATATATATATATATATATATATATTTATTTATTTATTTATTTATTTATTTATTTATTTATTTATTTATTTATTTATTTATTTATTTATTTATTTATTTATTTATTTATTTATTTATTTATTTATTTATTTATTTATTTATTTATTTATTTATTTATTTATTTATTTATTTATTTATTTATTTATTTATTTATTTATTTATTTATTTATTTATTTATTTATTTATTTATTTATTTATTTATTTATTTATTTATTTATTTATTTATTTATTTATTTATTTATTTATTTATTTATTTATTTATTTATTTATTTATTTATTTATTTATTTATTTATTTATTTATTTATTTATTTATTTATTTATTTATTTATTTATTTATTTATTTATTTATTTATTTATTTATTTATTTATTTATTTATTTATTTATTTATTTATTTATTTATTTATTTATTTATTTATTTATTTATTTATTTATTTATTTATTTATTTATTTATTTATTTATTTATTTATTTATTTATTTATTTATTTATTTATTTATTTATTTATTTATTTATTTATTTATTTATTTATTTATTTATTTTTATATGTTTATTTCATATGATTCAACTGCTATTTATTCTGAAAATTTCCAAACAACCTGAAAATTAAAAACAGCGAATTTATTTATCTTGTGAAATAAAAATCAACAACCTCTTTTAAGAATATTTTCTCAATTACCAAATAAATATGTTTGAGGTGTAGTCTGATAGCAGGTTGAGAATTTTTGGAATTATCTAATTCTTAAGTTATATCTAAAATTAATATTTGGTGAGTGTGAGTAGCAATATGAAGGTGTATTTTAAGTGCGTGTGTACGCGAGTGTTGAGTGTATGTGTGAGATTATGTGAAGTGAGGGGTGTGTGTGGAATGTGAGTATGTGAGTATGTAATGAGTGTGTGTGGATGTGTACACGAGTGCGTTGGGGAAGAGAGTGTTAATGTGTCTACTGTCTTTATGTGCTGGTATGAATGTATGTAAGCTCAGTAGTACACCCGGTCTTGCCAGCGATGTGTGTGTATGTGTCTGTATGTGTGTAGCATGTTTGTATATGTTTATGTGTGTATGTGTTGGTATGAATGTATGTAAACCCATCAGTAAACCCGGGTCTCCCATACGGTGTGTATGAGTGTGTATGAGTTATGTGTGTATATGTATATGTGTGTATGTGGTATGTGAGTATATGTGTATATGTGGTATGTGTGTATATGTATATGTATGCAAGGGTTCAAATGAAAAGTTTGAGGGATGTGCAAATGAAAAGTTTGAGGGGGGGAGGTGCAAATGAAAAGTTTGAGGGGGGGGGGGGGTGCAAATGAAAAGTTTGAGGGGGGGGGGTGCAAATGAAAAGTTTGAGGGGGGGGGGGGTGCAAATGAAAAGTTTGAGGGGGGGGGGGTGCAAATGAAAAGTTTGAGGGGTGTGCAAATCGAAAGTTTGTCCCCGGGTGCTTGGAATATATATGTAGGCCTATATGTGTGTATGTGGTATGTGTGTATATGGATATGTGTGTATGTGGTATGTGTGTATATGTATATGTATGAATGTATGTAAACCCACCAGTACATGTGTGTGTGTGTATATGTATATGTGTGTATGTGGTATGTGTGTATATGTGTGTATGTTGTATGTGTGTATATGTATATGTGTGTATGTGGTATGTGTGTATATGGATATGTGTGTATGTGGTATGTGTGTATATGTATATGTATGAATGTATGTAAACCCACCAGTACATGTGTGTGTGTGTATATGTATATGTGTGTATGTGGTATGTATGTATATGTGTGTATGTTGTATGTGTGTATATGTATATGTGTGTATGTGCTGTTATGAATGTATGTAAACCCACCAGTACACACCGGTCTTGCCTGCCTCCACCTCCACACCTGTTCACATTTACCTGCCATATAGCACCTTTCTCCACCCCCTCCCCACCCCATGTTTGTTTGAGCCATAAAAACATGCTATTGACGATATTTCCTGTAGAAAGAACTCACCCCAGCCCCTCCCCCACCTCCCCCACCCACATCAGTTATCTAGAACAAATTATCTACTAGTGTAAAACAATCCTCCAGCAGAGACCGGCTCTCGCCCTGAGTAATACAGACCGACCAGTTGTTCATCCGGGTCACATCTACTTAACTCTTATTTGTAGGTCAGACTTAGGCCTCCAGGCACCCGCTCCTGAGTGCTGCCATCTATTCAGGTGATTTACCCACTGCTCTCTACAGACCCGGGGAGGGGGGTGGGGGTGGGGGAGGCTGTTGTTTTAAATCAAGTTTTCTCAAGTACCAGAAAATGTTTTTGCCTCTTTGAGGTTGTTTTCTCTGCCAACACATTAATTATACTAAAACGAATGATCTTTGAATCACAGCCAAGATTTGTATTCTGTTAAACATTATTTC